TGTAACCTCTTCTTCCGTCTCATATCCTTTTATGATGGTTATTAATAATATTGTTACCTCACTGTTTAGTTCTTTGTGACGACTATAAATTTCATCATTTCGCTGATCCTAAACCTTATCGGTTTAGTAGATTTCTCGTCCCTGATTTTTTTGTTGTCTCTCTTATTTAATCGTCTCATATATATAATGAACCTTTACGAATACGAACTGATTTTCTCGTCAACTTTTCATCAACGAAACAAACCTCTTTGTGCTAGTTATACACAAAATTGTGGTGCGCGCTGCTTATAAGTAATATATGACGTGAGTGTAAACGTAATGTCTGGCAGCAGAAGATGAGAGAAGATCAAGAAAGGAAGAGTGGGAACACAATGGAATATGTATGAAACGCATGAACAGTGAAATGTCAGACAATGGATTGATGACTGATTGAAGATTTGCAAATTAACGGTTACGATATAGTTTTCCTATTTTACTGAGTAACTATGTAATTTTCGTTAAATACAATTCGGTTTCCCTCACCTGTGTTCTCCTTCACTACACCAGTGGATGTTTTACTGGACTTTTAGTTTATTCCTACTTTTGTACCCCATTTTCTTGTTGCACGGTCGCCATCTTGCTTTTGCTGATCTTTATCTTTCACACATTTTCTCTGACAAGATTTCATTACTCTTTCAATACCACGAAATAGCCTGCAAATATACTTATTCATCTAGACTATCCCTTCTTCGTTGTTATTAATTTATGACTGTATAAAGCTGAAGACCACAACGTCACTGGTCGGTAGTCTACCTCGACTACAACACTACACCTTAAAATACGTGCATGAAAAATTAACAAAGAATAACCAAACTTTTACTTAATCTTAAGTACAAAATTTACAATTAAACAATACTGATTATTTTAACTTATCCAATTCACCATGCTCATAATAATTACCTTCTTGCTAGTTAATTAGTATCTATCCTTTTCATCTTTTTTAAAAAAAAACTACAAAATTAATTAGTTTGTAATGATTCATGTTACATTTTATCCTTATAGCATAATCTGACCAATTAAACAACTCCTACTTGGTCAATTGTTTACCTTCAAAATTAAAAAACCATACTTATTGGTTTTAGATTAAGAAGAATAAGTACATAGGTATCGCGGTTAGATGAATTCAATGTTCTTTTTTAAAAATATTCAATCTGAAACTTAATTGATCCAAAAAAATTCCTAAGCTGGTTCAATCGTTCAGAATGAAAACAATTTAAAGTTACTATTATAGATCAATGATTATTGAATAATGATGACTGTTTATATAAAATACTTGTGTAATGTTAATAGAAGAACTCAATACTAGTCACATTTACAAAACGTTTATTTAAATACTATAGTCCTAGTTTATAATATCAGAAAACATGTAGCGTTTAGTCATTAAAATAGAATTGGATATAGGTTAAGTAGTATGAAAATATTTGCTAGTTCATAGTATTTAAAAAATTATTGGCTTGACTTATTGAGAAAGTTCATAGATAGAAAAGTTTTAACAATTATATCTATGATTAAGTATGATAGAAATCGATGTAAATTAACTCTGATAAGCTGCAGCAGTTAGTAAATGACACAGGAATCACTTTCATTTTCCTCAAAGAGATTAAATCCTATTCAAACCATTATCCAGAACGATGATAAACACTCTCAACCCTATCTGAAATCGATTATCACAAACTAGTTTTAATGATTAGTTGTTTAAATAATTCGATAACAGTATCGACTATTTTATACTTGTAATAATAAAAGTGAATTATGACAACGATCCATGTTTTACTGTAACGATTGTCAGGACGGTAGTAAACCAAAATCCCCCTACCACGAAGCACTAATCTTTATGTGGAATGCAGTAAGAAGTTAATCAAAATATATTGCACACTGAGTAAGTATTCCAAAAAATCAATCATGTATTCGTGTCCAGCTCTCTCACCACCTTGCCGACCACTTAGTGAAAAAACTGAGCTCTGACAGTATACCAGATTCACTTACACGTCCGAAACTTTGTAAACTTTTTCTCACAATTCGATTATTCTTAATTACTTCAAGAGAGTAAAGTTAATTCTTTTTTCAGTTGTAGTTTATAACATGATATATCCAATACTGATTAAGGATAGTGGACCTGTTGTGTCCTTTTAACCGTCAGTCAGTATCACGTGGGAAATACAAAGCATCAATCAAAATCACGTCTTATCACCCGAGTCCGTAAGTCAGCTCTGAATCCTTATTGATCAACGACTCAATAGCTTCTTCCTCTCTACCTTGCCTCTCAGTCCAGAAGTCCATAGTCAGCCTCCATGAAATTCTTGTTATATTTCAGCAAGACAGTTTATATACCAAACATACAGGACCACTGTTAGTTATTTTATAACTAATTGTAGTTATGCCATAACTAACCAATCAGATTGTGGTTTAAGTGCTCACCATGCTATCTGGTCTGACCGATCTGTAAACCTTCTTTATTGTAAATGACCTGTTGACTGAAGGACGTTATTATTTTATTATATTGATGTGACTCAAGCTTTTATTCATTTTCCAAAGACACGCTATGCTGGTCGGTACGTTTGCTCGTCTAACTTGATAATTGTAATTTCCTTATTTATTGTACTAACGTAATTGTTTTTGTGTTTAGAAACAGATAAAGTTTAAAACCAAGTTGACTTCATTTTTACTATAACTTTAACACAGACTCTATGTTCGCTAGAAAACGCTAACAAGAGTAAATAATTCAAACCATTTAAACTCGGCCCTGGCAATCAGGTCTTCATTTAGAAGAATTATGACGTCTCATGATGAAAGCCGAGTTCCTTTGGAAGTCACGAGGCCGATGCCCCTTATGATAACCAGAACAATTCTGCGGTGTGGGCAGCCGGGAAGTAACATCCACCATCATACCCGCAAAGAAAATTAGATAAGTGTAATGTATAGCTGGAATAGTGTGAATACAAACGGATGTCACACCAAACTGATATGAACGAATGTTACATTGAACAAATACATAATCTCATGCTCGATACCTTTCTAACAGGTTCACACTGTGAACTAATATTAACATAGAAATGTTAGGTGATAGATATTCAATAACTTCAAAAAGATTCGATTTTTAAGTCACTAGCCATGACGAAACAGTTAGCAATTATTTGGACTATGTTAGTTTAATGATAAGATTCACCAATTGTTCTATTATATGTCTGACCTCTGTATTTAGTTTAGAACCATATTTTAATGAAACCATGAAGCACGTGTTCTGTTAATATGACTTTCAGTCCAATCAATATGTTGCATTATTTCATATTCACTGATTATAAAACTATCATTAACCATTAAATGTTTACTGAGTGAATGTTACTAATAATAGACACGAGAGTACATCTTCGGAGAAATTAGTTTATGCATAAGAAAAAAAAGCACTGTTAGTCGATTTCAACTGTCGTTACAAGTGTGTTAGTGAATATAATAATCTACTTCATATTTGTTAATGGAACATAGATGGAACTAAAGCATGACTACGTTGCTGCGCGCTGATTGGCTAGTTTCCTATCCAATCAGCGCCTAATTGAGTCTTGGGGAAAAGGGTAGAAAATTCTCGTACTGTTAGCTGCATGCTGATTGGCAAAATCTAATCCAGTCGATCACGTGAATTTCTATCCAGAAGCTTCTCATGTAAATGCTATGAAGAAACTATCGTTGTAACTATTTTTGGCCTTCGCCTTCTTATTCCATTTAACGTTGCTATTTGGAATATAATCTTTTCCTGTTCCACCGTGTTTTTGATCCTTCGGAACTTGTCCAGTGTATTGTGGTCTGAGAATACTAAGCAATAGGAATTAGCTGGGAATTATTCAAGCAAGCGTTACAACAATATTCGAATAGTTAGCAAGAAGTATCCTTTACTGGCTATTATTCTGTTTTCCCTCCACTTGTTTCCGTTCTTTTGGCGCGTACTTTATTCAAAGTGCTAATGATGCAGTCGCTGACTGCTTTTCCCTAGAACTTCAGGTCAAGTTTGCCTTGTAATGTTCGCAGCTAAGATGAACAACATAAATAACTCTTGATTGGTCGGAAAAGTTCAACTTTATGTGTTCAAAAACAACTGTATGTTGACCTTTGTTTACCATAGTTCGAGTGAGTGAATGTCATGCTAAACAAGAAATTCTGACCTTATCTTCAAAACTGTATTTACACAAATAACATGTTGCTTGTATGTAACTGACGAGAAAGCACGAAATGGTACTATCTCACAAAATATGTCTTCTCATTTCTCTGTTCAAACATAAATAACTATCAATTTATAGATAGATAGATAGAATATACAAGTACCACATACCAATAGTCAAAACATTTATATAGCAATTGGAAAGAAAAGAGAGATATAATCACAGAGATGAAACAGAGATTCAGGATAACAAGTCGACTAGCTTGTAATGACTTTTTTTCTCTCTAGTTAGAAGTTGTCATAAAAAAAGGTGTGCATTAACGAAACCTTAGTTCGTTCATCCTATCCAACTCATATTTATTGAACTTCCCGTATCAACCAAACCTCACCGAACACATGATGGACTTTTTAATCTTGACGCCCCAAATAAATAGATATAATATACAAATATACCGGTTAATCCTATCAACTGTTCTCATCAGATGCAACGTAGAACTTCGTACGTAAGTACACCAGTTCATGTTGCCATACCACATGTAATTGTCAATTCAAATCCAATAGTAGAAGAGGTAGTAAAGGTATTAGAAGTAATCGAAGAGGTTAGGATTAGAAGATATTATTCAAGAAGTATGATTCAGTGAGAAAAGTTTAGAAAGTCAAAACTAGAAGGGGTCGAAGAATCCAGATGATTAAGATTTGAGAGAACACAAATAACAAATGCACCAACGCCATTGCAAACGATTTTGAGCCATGTCATTCACAACTGTTCTCATCACAAGGAGATGTAATAAATGATGATAAGAAAAAAAAACCCAGTTTATTATTTGTTTTTCATTTAGTGAAATATTAGACAGTCTAAGAATTGAAACACCACAGAAATCCCTTAAAACACCTTTTATATATATATATCAGTGAAGAGCATAAAATCACCATCATCATCATCATTATAAACAATTTTAATCAAGTCATTAGAAAAAAATGTTCTTGTTTTGAAAAAAAAACAAATACACAAACAAATAGATAATCATCACAATAAAATTTGAATTGTCCAGTAATAAAGTAGTAGTAGTAGTAATGAGTATAATATATGCACAATAAACTAGAAGCTTTTTATATCTTTATTATTATCATATGAAATGTTATTATAACACAGAATGAAAGGTGAAAAGAATAAAAAGTCATAGTTTTCAAATTCACAATTAGAAAATTTTAATTATATATAATTAATTCATGAGAAGAAGAAGATTTATCAACTTTTATCAACATTTATTTATTTTTCATTGTGCAATCTGTAGATTATTTTTTTTTTAATAGAAATTTTGAATTGATTCTCTTTTTTTATTTCTTTACAAATGACTATCAATGTACTTTAAAGTACTACTATAAAGTGCGAGAATTGAAATGAAGCAGTAGTGTTATCTTTTCTCTTTACAGAATATAAAGTTGGTTTTAAAAAAAGAAGCATACAATCATTGTTATTAGTGTCGGTTAAAAAGGTTTACACGTTTGCACCAATGGAATATAAGTGGTTAAACATAATTACATCGGGCAACAGAGGGAACAATAACCAGACTTAAACATTCCACAATATTGTTTTGGTTTGAAAAAGAACTAGTTAGTAATTAAATACATTCTATTCAAACTACCATTCCGCTTCACCGACAGCTTTTTGGAAAACATGATCCCGACCATTAATGGACATTATTCCATCTTTTAAATGAAAACGCCATTTATTTCTAGCTCGATGAATCTGGTAAAAAATAAAAAAATAAAAGTATCTTTTAATATCTGAAGGATATTACGGAGTAAATTTACATTAGAATACAAAGAAATATTAGTTCCTAACTAATCTGCATTATAACTTTTAGTAAACTAAACAAATGAAGTCGACGATTAGGTATAGAATATATAAGAAAGCCGATGTTTGCATGAAATGATGTCAAACTGCAAAAAAAACTACGGACAAACAAGGAATAAGAAAACCAGACGTTATTAGATTGTTTGATTAAAGATTTTCACAGTTATAAAGAGCATTCGGTTTGATAACAGTAGAAGGTAAATTGAATGTAAATGTTTACAAGGAACCTAATTCTTCAGTTTTTCTCTACTTCGATATAGAACTCGTTATTATGAACAACCTTCAACTAAAAAATATCGTAGCAAAATAACATGAATTCATTTATTTCATGGATTTTCTTTAGCTGCTTACAACCTGAACCCATAGTATTCACCATTAAGACCCAAAAAAGTGTGCAAACTTTATGCCCGAAATATCTAGAATAACCCTGCGCTAAAATACAGAGAATAATATTAAGAGACCATAGTACGAAGGAATCAAATTTGTCCAAACGTTCAACTATTCATAAATGAATACTCTAGAAGAGCAAAATAGAGAAAGAATCATGTGTCATAGACTAGTTGAATAAACCTCGATAGTAGGAAATTACGATGAGTCTTTAGAAAATGTCTTAGGTAATAAACTCATAAAAAAAGGTCACTACAGAAAAACAAGAGTGATAAATATTTCAACAGCTTCGGCAACGCCCAACAATTTTGAATTCCTTTGTTTATTGATGATTTTGGGAGATTTTAAAACCTCAACAACCATTTGTTTAGTCTCAACTTTTGTGGAATATGTCCGAAGGTGTGGACAAAAATACTCATTTCTTCTCTTTCGATGTATGTTTTGGCACATACATGTAAATTGGTGAACACAACTAAAGGCAACATAAGAAGAATATTTTTCCACAGTTGATTGTTGCAATGAGTAATCCAATCGATCAACAGCAACGAAGAACTTCTTACGCAAGTACATCAGTTTAAGTTGCCATACCACATTAGCACAGAGATGCAATTGTTAATTCAAATCCCATAGAAGTAGAGGTAGTAAAAGTATTATGAGTAATCGCAGAGATTAGGGTTCGACGATGGTATTCAAGAAGTAGAATCTCGTGAAATCAACTCAATAAGAAAAAAATAAAGGGATGAGGAACCATGAAGTTTAGGATTTGAGAGAACACAAAGAATGAATGCACCTGCGCCATTGCAAACGGTTTTGAGCCATGTCATTCAGGGTCTCTAACCATCCATTACTATCATCTCGTGAATCCCCAACCAGGTAGTCTACATTTACCAACATGGCTCAGTCCACTCATCATTGACTTCATGGATTTCTGCCATGTTTTGGTTTGGCCGCCCCTAGCTTTCTTCCAACCTACTTTAACACCACAAAACATAGCTTGTCGAGGCAGTCGGTGAAGTATACGTAACATATGTCCTGACCACCTCAACTGAAGTTTCAATACTTCGTCTCGTCGTTCTCCGATCGACCTACCTGGAATGGTAGAACCTACAAGAACGTATGTTCCAGCCAATATAGTTCGGTTGGGTTATCAAGATAGGTAAGCCCGACCACCACGCCAAGGTAGCAGCTATGATCGGGAAACATTGAGGACTGATGGCTGATAAAATGTCAGCGCGCGTAGAATATTGCTAGGCTTACACAAACATACATTTCTGATGCAAATGGGGTGTTTAACCGCCTACTATGACTGTGAATATATTACATAACATCCTCTTATATTAATTTACGGATGTAAAATGTGGTCTGTGAAGGTACAGTGGCATGTACTTAATCATAAATATCTTAGAAGTATTCTCCTTAACATATGAAGAATCCAGTGCGTGAAAATGTTTATTTTCTTACTGGTTTAATGCTCCAAATATGTGAAAAACGAAAAACTTATCAGTTTTTCTAAATTCCCATTCCAACTCACTTTATCATACTGACAAACGACAACATTATCCGACTCGAATAGCACTTCAGGTTCTTCATCACTCACATCATCCTCTGAATTTAGAGGCTCTTCTTCTTCATCTTCTTCTCCTTCCTCTTCTGCTTTTAGAGGATCTCCTTCGAGAAATTCCATTTGATCTGGAACACCAAGCTCTGATTCAGTTGGGGATGAAAACTGTTTCGTCATACGACTGTTTTTGGGACTGACTGAATTCCTATCTTGTTGTGGACGATGTTTAGGTTTTTGCTTCGTTTGATTCAGTTTTCGTTTAGGATCAAGAGTATCTCCGTAGTTGGCTACAAATGCTTCGCTATTATTAATCAATACAAAATAATTAGAGTTAAGTGATATTTTAGATAGTCATCATAAAAGTTGATAAAAAAAAGTTGTTGAAACTCACACTGACGATTGAGACTCCCATACGACACCTAGCAAATTCCGTGAAAGATGAGAAGCGTCGCAAAAATAAACATGTTATACTTAGATCACTTAGTGTCTGGAACACAAGGGAAACAATTAAAATACTGGACGACCAAATAAACGTTAAAGTGCAAGTGAGAGCAATGGAATCAAATAAATAACCAGGCCATAGTAACTCCCGACCGAAGCTGCTACTTTGACGTGGTGGTCGGGCTTGCCTATTGTGATGACCCAACCGAGCTATATTGGCTGGAACTTATGTTCCTCAAGGTTCTATCATGCCAGAATGGTCGATTGGAGAACGATGAGACTAAAAGCAGCTACTCAAGGTCTGAGGGCGAAGTCGTACTGCTGACTGCAGAGAGGTGTGACAGCAGTAAGGTGTTTCCCTCAGACAACCAGCATCTGCAGCGATGCTGCCTTCTCACAAAGAAGGAAGGGTTAGAAAAGGTCGACCCTAAAAATGTCACACCTCACGGATTTCCGCCTTCGGCGGTAAGGGTGCCCACTAAGGGCTTTCAAGAGCGGAGCTAATACTCAAAAAACTTCTCATAAAAACGCCGTGCGTGACCGGCCTCAAGCAGTTGTCCCTTGGGCTCTGTGGTCACGCTCGCAGGTCGTTCAGACCAACGCTAATCTACCTTCCTTTTCAGGTTCCTCAAAAAAACAACCTTCCACGGTGTGGGCAGCCGGGAAGTGACAGCCGCCCTCATACCCGTGACAGCACACGACTAACCATAGTAACTAGTGTGTAGATACTACGTTTTAGGAGTATTGGTTATCGAACTGTATTTGAGACTAACCTGGGGTTGATTATTATAGGATACATTCGAACAAACGGGCCCTACCTAAGGGTTTTAGCAGAAAACTCCCGTTTGACCTCAGAAAATAATACACGACATAAAATACTACCAGTAAAAGACAATAAAAGTTTGAAATAAGTTTGATTTGATTCAAGTGACTTCATGTCCATATGAAACAGGCTGCTTGACAGACTGATGTAAGCTAAAATAGTATCTTGAAATACGATTATCAGTATCCTAATCCATAGTACTCAAGTAATGTTATATTGGCATGAATGGACTTACTTTGGGTTGACTTGTGTAGTGATAGTTGTTATTTCCGGATCATCGCCATCATCACAACCCTCAGATTCATCAGTATCTGTATTCTTCTCGTGGTATGGTGAATTCCGTGGACGTTTTGAGGCAGATGTTTGTGCACTGTGAAGTGGATGAGTAGCTGAAGACCGTTTTCCAGGGTGTGAGTGGCCTGCTGGGACTGGTAGGGAAGGTGGGGACATAGGGGTGGGTGGGGCACTCACAAGCGGCGTTCCCCCACCCATATCTCTTGGAGTATCCATCGCATAACGACCGGTGTTGTAGTGAGATAAAACAGATGAATGTGGAGTGAAACCAGGAGTGGCAGGGACTAAGTCATCATCATCGTCATCGTCATCTTCTAGATCTGAACCATGATGGGTATGAGATGCTACACTATCATTATAACTATGTTGTCCACTGTTTTGATTCTTTCGATTATCAGGAATGCTCATAGATTGTGATACAGGAGTATCACAGAACTTTTCGTCATCGCTATCGTGGACACCATCAACCTGTGTCTGTAACAGTGAAAAGTAATTTACGGGTGGGAAGTATATTTATATACTTTTATTTATTTAAAAAATAAACCGTAAGTTATTGAAGTTATCTTCATAACTAATGTATCTCACCAATGATGGCCCATTTTTGGAAAAGTAATGAGTTGAGTACTTTATGACACTGATAAAACTGCAATGCACTGTATTGAGAAATATAGCAACTCCACATTATGCATTAACCGGTATTCGACACTACGTTATCGAAGATTTACTCATTGTTCAAATGGTACCAAATAAGCGTAATAAATAAATTATTCTTCAACATATGTGATTGTGCCACCTGCGACATCACGTATGGTAAATTAATTATCATCAGTGAAAACCAGGTAAATATTCTTAGGAATGTGCGGTTTATAAACTAAGAATGAAAGTATAACTATTATAAATGCATGAAATAGTATAAGGAAAGGACATGTTATATTTGGTTTTTATCAGTAATCAAAAGTCCACACATGTCGGTTTCAACAATAATGATTTCCAGAAGTTAATTGCAAAGAAGTGGAAGTCCCTAGACTACTATTTCACATAACCCGATAGATGAAATTTCAAAAAGAAAAAGTTACAATTAGGAACAGAACCTTGGAAAATATTTTGGAGAAATGCTTAATTCGACAGGCGTCTAATTGAAGCGGAACGTTGAGTTAAATATGTTATTAGACAGATAACAAACACATTTCCAGGGTTTAACAACCGATAAATGATGCACTAAAAACTATTTAGGAACATGAGTTCTATCAAAATCACTATCCAGAAATATCTAAAATCAGAAAATATCACGTTTCGTATCTAGTTATTAAACAAACTAATATAAAGTAAAAACCAGCGGCCACACTAAAATAAGTCATCAAAATTGAAAAAACGGTAGTTGGATGACTAATATATTTCTGATTTAACTGCAAAATACTTTAAGAGCTCACTTGTTTAAACTGTCCAAGATCCGAAACAGTAAAAGGTTTGGAATCAGAAGCCATTGAACTGTTAGTTGCAACACTTGGATTACCCATAAACTGAGGGACGGCCAGATGAACACTAGGTTGACGGACTGCTGTCAATGGTTGAGGGACAAGATAAGTCTGTTGACCGATTTGCACAAGATGCCCTGTAAACAATAAGAAAAATAACTGGATTTATTTTGATTAGCAAGTGCAGTTTACTTCAGTCAGTCAGTCACAACGAAGAACTTCGTCGTACGTATATCAGTTCAGGTTGCCATTACCACACTAGCATAGGTCAAACTGTCAGCCTAAACACATAGTAGTAGAGGTAGTAAAAGTATCAGCGGTAACGGAGAAGAGTAGGGTTTGAAGATATCATTTATTTAAAACACAGTAAAATATTAAATACGACTTTAAAAACCTGAAGCGAGTACAACGACTCACTGACCTGTAAGACCTGAAGGTAATGTGGCGAGTTGAGGTGTTGTGCCTTGTTGAACGTTAGTAGTTGTTATAGGTCTGGATTGAGCTCCACTTGGATTGGAAGTAAGTACAGCAGGAAGAATGCTGGTTGTTTGGGGTTGCTTTTGAGTTTGCGATTGAGCTGATAGTATGACTGAGGTCAGACACGGAGTAGCCTGTACTGGTTCACGTGAGCGTATTTGAGTGGGAACTGCAATGGAGGCTCGTGCTGCAGGTAGTCGTATACCTGTAAGGGAACCGGGAAGTGGCAAGCTTGCTGTTGTTTGATCTGACCCACTTCGTATGACTGTATTTAGCTGCTTCATTGGTAAACCTACAGAGGAATTTCCAGAATTGACGACACTTGGATGGATCTGAAGTTTTAATTGGTGAAAAACAGTGATAATTTGTTGTTTGCAACATCAAAACTAAAAAATGTATTTGCTTCCTAAGATAATGAATTCCGAGACTAACTTGATGCACCCACTCCATACTACTATTTCAAAAAATCGAAAAATAATGTATTCATAACAAGAAATAACAAAATGATGTCAATCTATCAATCAAAGGACTCGGGTCCAACCAATAGGTTGCTGATTTGAAATATGCTCTATTTACTCTTACAAGAACGACAGAATAGTGTGGCTGTCACAAAGTGCGATTTAAGGTGTTATAGACAAACCAGTACTTGGGAACTGAGCTACTTCACGACTTTTGTGTTAGAAACAAAACAGAGATACGGGTACAAAAACACCTGGCATCAGCTTAAAATTCAAAAGTCGCCACCCTTAATTGTAGAAAGTAAATTAACTGCAAGAGCTATAAGTGCCTCACAAATTTAATAGCAGATGTAATGAAAATGACGTGAAATCTTAATATAAGCTAGATACATTATAAAATAGTTTAGTTGGACATCACGATCGAGGATTTTAAGAACTAATGCACTTTGACGAGGTGCGAAGCAGTCATACGCAGTAATTCCACCTCTGGTAGTCTTACAAGAATTGCCATGGTATATGCTATAAATGAGGAGCATAATTAGTTGCGAGTTGTATTTGAACGACAGCCACTAGGAGTGTAGGCATTTAATAGATATATTAATCACAACTAAGTATATTCATATAGAGCAACATGACCACTGAATACAGTTATTAGTTACCATATTCAATGTGGTTTAAACATTATTATTACCTGAACTTGAGAACGTTGCAAAAGGTTCAAATATTGCGCAGCACTTCCAGGGACAGGCTCCGGGCTGAAAACATTTGTCTCAGCAAGTTTGGACTTCCAAAGCTAAATTACAATGAGTATTTCAATAAGCAAAACCTTTTTTAGTTCTTCAAGTATCTGGATATCGCCGCCATCTTCTACAAACTCATCTTTAACACCACTAATAACGTCCTCGATTACATCGTCGTAAAATTTGGCCTACAAATCGAAAGCGGTAAGAAAACAGTACAATGGAAGTAAACTGAATCGATCAGTTAGAACTAACCACGCAGGTCATGATGATCAAACAGTTTACTCGAACGGTTTTTGCTAGTTACGAAAAGATCGTGGACCAGTTTTCGGGGTGGAATTATGCGGGATAAAAACACAGCTGCCATTATTAAGAGGACTAAGCATTACAACATACTGTTGGAGGAGCGCAGAAAGCAACGTACAAGTGAAAAGCTGGAAAAGAGAACAAGAGGGTGAGCCAACGATTCAATAAGGACATAGAATGTGCCTACATCTGACAATGAAGGCGATTGGTGAAAATCAGCAACAATCCAGACGAGAAATTAGGAAAACTTGGTAATCACAACTAGAAGTGTTGTCATGAAGTCTCAGTCAGCAACACCAGTCCACACAAACCGTGCACCGTCACCTTTAAACCAACCACACTGATACAATGCCCAATGATCCACATTGGTGTGACTTGGTATAAACAAGGCTATTTCTAAAAAGACTATTTCTTGATGCTGACTATTTTTTTAGACATTTTTGAATTTTTCAAGGAAAATTTACTCAACTACTCTGTAGTAAGAGTTATGGAAGGGTATTGGAGATGCAATATCTTAAATATATACAGTAGGCACCAGCCAAAAGAGTAGATATTTGATGACACCTTTGAAACGATTCTAGAAAACGAGAATCAGATGACGGTACTCAATGACGGATAAACAAGACCGGAGAAATCCAAGACAGACCGAATATACTCCGGAGTAAACATGCAAGTCAAGATAAGCAGTAAAGCTGACAAACGTAAATATATGGAAGAACTAGCACTGATAGCAGAAAGAGCTGCATAAGAAGGAAATACAGGGCAAATATAATACACACTGAAGAAACTCACTGTGTAAACATAATAAACCAGAATGACCAGTCAGAGCAAGGAAGGCAAAGTAATCACCGACGTTCGAGAATAGCGAAACAGATGTCTAGAACATTGAAGAGCGGAATTGGCAGACCAGATAAGATAAGCCATTTATTTGAATAAGGAAGTTTACTATTCAAAATATTTGCCTTACTTCCAAGTATCCATTTTCAAAATAAACTTATTTTTGGCCCTCTTTCTTCATTTGTTTTCTAGTCTTCAAAACAGTTTAATCACGCCATGCCTCCGCATCAGTTGAGCAGCACACATACTCATTACAATAAAGACCAATGTCAGACAAGGCTGCTTATTCAGACCTTTTTCTTTCTTCTGATGGCTGACTGGATTATGAAGACGTCGACGTTTCGGGAGAATTAAAGGATACAGTAGACATCTGGGATGTGACTAAGAGTTTTGGATCCTGAAGATAATCTAACTCTTCCATCCAACACACAGCAATAACTGCAGGTGAAGGCGGCTTTGTCGCCGAACCCTTGGCAACGGTAACCTTCAATATACGCAAGGAAAAAAGTAAGGTTCAAGAATATAACACAGAAAGTACCAACAAAGTCAGACTTGATGGAAGAGCTACGGACGATAAAAATCCCTTACTGTCTTGGATAGCACAAGTGAAAAAATTGGAGGTTTGATCTGACATAAAAGCACGGAGAGGCAGAGGAAATGCAGCATTTCAACAAGTGAAAAATATATCGAGCTCAAAGCAACTTTCAACCAACACTAAAGTTAGAATTTTGAATCCAGAAGTCAAGAAAGTCCTATTAAATGCTACTGAAACTTAGAGAACTACGAAAGCCATCATCCACATGATAAAGGTATCCATAAGCTGTTATTTACTTAAGATTCTGGCCATCTTCTAGATCGACGCCATTAGTAACAACCTACTGTGAGAGAAAACAAACAAGCTAGTTGTCTGTATTGGATACACACATCACAAACTGTATCATGGAGCAAGCTATGACTTGAAATCCTCAAGGCCGACCGAAGAGGTAGACCAACGAACACAATGTAAAGAATCGGAGACAGACATGGAAGAACGGAATAACAATGAGAAAAGCTGAAAGAAAAAGTTTAGGATAGAGCCAGATGATGAATCCAGGTACGTTTTACAAGGAAACCATCAGTTAGTATCAATATATCACGGACACAGCGATTTCGGTAATTCTTCGAGACTTGCTTTTTCGTATATTCATTCTTATGAGCTAAGTAGACATTTCAATTACAGGTATTACTGTCCTATCTATTTTCACGAAAACAATTAGCGTTACGGTCACATCTTTTATACTCCATGACTTTGCTAGTGAGCGGATGTAACGGGAAGGATATACTTAGAATCCAGAAAAAACGACACGCTGGACAGTACTGCTAGTCCTATCTTCCTTCACCCTGTCTCATAGTTTAACCTTATTCCCCAATATCCCTTGTCTACGCCTTTAGTATTTAATTTCGAGCAACGTTTACCTTCACACTTAATGTGATAATTGTGTGGTGTTGGGCCATTGACGAACAGGTCACGTTTCGCCAAACTCAGGGCTACAGTATGGTTTGTTCGATTATGGTTGGCCTTAGAAGGTCTACCGGAAAGGGTTGCTCGAACCACTGTAGGTAGGTAGATATTTGATCCCATCTTGTTAGGAATATTCTTGCTGAATCTCAAGTAACGACCGCTTATCTATCAATCATTCCTTTAGCTGTTTAGTGTGCCATTTTGCGATTGGAAAACCTGACTGTATAACAATGCTAGAGTGTTTGATGTATTTTGAGATGTCGATGTATTCCGTCTTCTTTGTTAAATTAGAATCGTTCAAGCTGAGCACAGAATTTTGTTTCCACATAATTTATTATTATTCACTCACTTTGCATGCTACACAAAAGAACGTAGTTTGGCCTGACCGAATAAACCTTGGTTTATTAGCTCTGAGTTCAAACCAAATACTGGAAGTGTGGTCGGTTTAACAGGAGTGATGACTCGAAACCGCTGAATCTTATTCAAAGTTATAGCTAGGTGTCGTGTTCCAGTACTAGGCATTGAGTATTTTGTTATTATTAAACATCGTATGCAAAAGAATATGTAATGCTGTTCGCTTAGCATTTCCAAGCAAACGATGAGATTCAATAACAATTTTGTCATGTGTTTATGGTTTCTTAGCGTTCCTTCTTTCTCTCCTCCTGCAGCTGCTAATTCACTTTTCAGTAACCTTGCTGAGACGGAAAGGGTTTGCTAGTCCTTTTACGTAGTTGTGTCAAAGAAGTCGAAGTCGTGATCACTAGCCAATGTCAATGAAGGCGGCCTAATGGGACAATCTACAACTGTTTTACTACATTAAATTTCTTTTGATCGCATTGCTTATCCGTCTCACGATGGCCCTTGTATATTTGCTGCTGAAAATAAGGGGGTAGTGAGAGAGCTGTACAGAATTATGTATTCTGTCATTTTAGTTTTTGTTCTCATATACTCAGGATTAATGAATGCAGCAGCTATTCTCTTCAGTTGATTAGTTATTCTCTAATAAAATTTATATCCTAGGAATTTCAGCTCTTATGTCAACAAGTAGCGAAGGTCCTATAAATTGTTTTAAGTTCAAAGTACTCTTTGCTACATTTATCCAGCCATAACAATGACCTTCATAAAAAAGTAGTAGATTAGAAAGAAATTGTGTGACGATCGACATTTGCCGTCTGAAAGTGAAAAAGGGGTACTTATGCATCATCAAAGTTCCAGGTGTTTGTAATTTTAAACGTGAAGCGCAGCCATCAATTCAGTGAATAGATTAAACTGGATTTGGCACATACTGACTTGACCTACCGTGGAGGTCAAAAGTAAACCTGCTAGGGTGATCACAAAGATGCTCAAAACTTACCAAAAGTTCTGATTTTCTTTCACTAATCAGAAGTATTCTTGCAGCTCCACCTCGCTTTCTTCACATGCCCTTCATCCTTTTTTTATTGGCTGTTATCGCTGTTATTTCGCTAAATTTTGCACGGGTGATGGTCATGTTTTGATTCTATGAATACAAAGTTATACCAATTGTTTTTGTACTACTTGTTCTCCCTTTAATATTAAGTCTCCTGAAATTCATTTTCCGCTAGTTAGCTGTCGAATGTTGATGTGATGCATGAAAATCGCTGTCGTCGATTTTCCCAGGGGACGAGTCGTAATTGGTCAGTCTTGTCCTTTTGTCTAACGTAGAATAAGTTAAGCTTGATTGATAATTTGTATTAGTGTTTCAGTGTTATTACTCTGCCACTGAAGTTTATTACAACTTCACTTATTTGTCAATGTAGTTGACATCTCTCACTCAACAAAGTTAAGTCTTTCGGTAGATCATTAAAATATTTCAGTTGATCGGGAATTGTTCACCTTTCTACCTTATCCCGAATTTACATAAAATGGTGTAAATTTAACCTGTGTTACCCTAATTGAATGGCCGACCAGTAGCTCTACTTTGGGCTCTGTATACAACTGACAGAATCTTGCCACACAAATAACTTACGTAGAAATGAAAACTATAAAGAAACGTTGCATGTATTCATTAGCCCCCGCTTTGCATAAGCGGAACACAGGAAAAGTACTGTATGGATGGACCAAAAACGTCATTTGAGTAGACTTTATTAATACACAGATTTCATATAGGACCACAAACAACTGTTATTAAACAAGGTGACAAGAGTTAATCAATAACGTATAGTAGTAAAAATTCGCGAATTGATGTAAACGGCACAAACGCTTATTGGAAGAGTTGGAAATCACTTGACAGAAACGTACTCAACGGAGAAATCATTTCTAGTTTTGATGTCAAAACAGAAGTTGTCAGTTTTAGAAGCAGTCATGACTAACTAAAGTTTTAATTAATCTGTTGTAATAACTGACACCGAATATCTGAGAAACGAAATAGCGAGCCAACCAGAATTGTGCAAATAAGGTGGACTGACAGGAAACAGCAACATCCTGAAAGATGGACTCATATCAATGATCAAGTAATGGATTCATTTTCTATGAGGTGGGTATTTATATTGATAAAAGAGTATTTATATTTGTAATTTGGAAGCCAAATAGATTTCCTCTCCCAATCCTATATTCCCTCTCAGGTATTCAGCACTGGGGGTTAGAGTGCATCAAGTTCAGATCTCGGACACTACATTTATACATATACGATTAATATACCATATCATTTAAAAAAACGTCTTCGAAGACATGCTTCTAGACTTCATAAGTGTAATGACATTTCGTTAGTAACGATGACTGAAATATGTCTCGAGGCAGAAATAACACGTACTAAAAAGGAAATCGCACAGGAAAAGCGTTCTGTTCAGCTGAATAATGAGTCATCTTATAAAATTCCTTCGAAATAAACTTAAATGCTCCAAATTGAAAGGAGGGAGCATATCTACTAAGGACAACCAAGTGTACGAAGACCCTAAAAGTATTGCGGAGCTGCTTAGCGATCCCTTTGGTGCTACATTAACAAGTGAAAACCCAACAAATGAATCACACCTGACCAAAATTCCTTCCTGTGAAATCGCCAGTATTGACTTTAGTGTACAGAACAATTCTGAGGTGATTATTACATTGAAGCACTCTTACACTGAAGGACCAGACGGTATCCCAGCCAGCATGCTGAAAATGGGAGCGACGATTTGTGTGCTATTCTTCCTAAACTGTTTACTACATTACTCTCTACAGAGTGTTACCCTAATAACTGGAAGACTACACATATCATCCCCACAAATTAATCTGGTCCTGAAGCGAATGCTGAAGATTACTGGCCCATAAACATAACTTCAGTAGTATATGCGGTGATTAAGAAAGTAGTTAGTGCACAGTTAATACAACATCTACTTAAAAACAATCTGATATCGACCTCACAGCATGAGTTCTTGAAATCTAGGCCATGTGACACGCGCCTGCTAGATTATTTTAATGACATCACCCAAAACAAGACATAGGAATTATAGTGTCAGCCCTTTGATACGGTACCACACAAAAGGCTTCTCCTTAAACTAAAGTGATTCGAAATCAATAACCCACTCTATTCATGGTTTGCTGCATTCCTAAATGGGCGCCAACAATGGTTTAATACAAAGATTACCTTTCATCACCAAGACCAATAATCAGTGGAGTTATCCAGGGAAGCATATTAGGTCCACGCTTGTTTCTTATGTACATAAACGGTATATGTAATACTATAAGATTTGGAAGAGCATACTTATAAGCGGATGCTCTGAAAATAGCCATGATTCAGAGTGATCTTGATAACTTATCTACCTGGAGTGAAACATCGCAGCTACTTTTTAACCACAACAAATATGGCATCATGCATTTTAGTAAACCTTGTCATGAAACACCACTCTACTTGCAAAAATCTAGGGTTCAGACACTTATATCAACGTATTATCTGGGTATTCGGTAATCCAGAAGCCTAAAAATCAAAGGACATGCCTCAACTGTTAGTTCTTAATCCAAACGACTAATTAGGTTTATAAATCAGAACTTCTTGACAAATGTCGCTAAGATTGCACTCTTCAAAATGTGCATAAGCACTCACTTGAATGTTGCTCACTTATCTTTTCTAACATAAATATCATGAACAAGATATGAGTAGAAAATTTCCAAAGAAGCTTCACCCGGAGACTACTCGTATGGAGCCATAACTTCGAATACACAGAAAGATGCAAACATCTTTCCCTAAAACGTCTATGGCGCCGTCGGTTGAAAAATAACCTAATACTTCTCTATGAACTGATAAATTGTGTCTCGTTCATAAACTACTGCTCAATCATGAACCACGACACTGCTTACAGACTCAGAAACAACGCATATACACTGGTCGCGGCAAAAATCATTGTGTTGTAATTTCTTTGTAACACGACACAATCTATTGTGCAACAGATTACCAATTACTATCTGTATCTGTGACACAATCACCAAGTTCAAGAAACTAGTAATGCTGTTGTCAGACTCTAAAGAGATTTATCGACCATTCCTGGAACACACACTGTCCCGAGGCACTCTTTTATGGTCCATCAACTATTTATATAAACCCTAGAAACTAATCACAGACTATGCACATATTGTACCTGCACTCATATCCATACAAGTATCACGAAATGATTGACGAATTCCCTTACACCTACTAAAAGTAAAATGTTACTTCTTTGAGTTGCTTCCCGTGATATTTGGACTTTTCTTAAAATCTAAATTCCAATCATGATTTTCTTAACTTCACAGCAGTTGTAATTTTTATTTATCGTAGACAGATATATTAAAAAGCCTGGAGATGCTGCTCAGTCCATTACAAGGAACTCAGACATTCAGTTTCATTGTGAGTTCCTTCTCGTTTAAGTATGAACAGTTTAGTAAATTTTTATTTCCTCACTTCATTAAAATCCGAAAACCTTGCCTGCTTACCAATTTATCCCTTTACTCATTAATTTTAACTCTATTTCAACCCTTTTTTCTCCAGCTCCCTATCCTTTCTATCTCCAAACTACCTATTAAATGATACATATCTTACAATTTATATCCTTAGTTTACTTAAAATCAGCGTGATATGCTACATGGATATTTTGTCTTACATACAGAAGGCAAAGTTGTCTGGTTTGTTTGTAACGTGGAGCTTGTAGGGGATGTGTATTCCGACAAGGTGTACAGAAAATAGAGCACAGACTTAAAAACGTTGTTTTAAATCTACCATTAATCGTAAGAGAGCCTAACATCACAATAGGAGGGAGGGTGGTGTGTCTGACCAGCATTCATGACGGTGGGGCAGTAACCTCAATCTACCCATGTCTGTGGGGTAGAACGATATAGCAGGATGTAACAAGTCAGTGATATTGATGTCCCTTTTCCTTGTTAACTTCGTCGACAACTCATGTCCATAACCTCGCACTGGTTTTAACTTCCTACCAAGAAATCCTACTACAAGCATATCTGGACAATTATACTGAAAAAGAGCTCACTCATGACTTCTTGAGCTAAAGAGTTGAAAAGAAAAAGAATAAATAAAATATCACAAAAGCATCAGATTGCTGTGCCTCATTATTATATTCTGTACACCAACATTATCGCTAAAATTTTGGTTCTTCTGAATTTCATCCATCCATTCGTTATCTTACTAGTGAATTGTCTTCATTAACCTACATAAGTGCAGGTGTATAGTTAATGTTCTAATTTTAAAAAGTATCTGCTGAGTCATTGTTCGGTTTTAAGCATCAATATTTACTGTTCTGCTCCTCGCCCCGTTCTCTTTGTTTCTCTTTTTCAGCACCTTATTCCAATCCTCAAATATTAGTCTGGATATTTGCCGAAGACTTGGCTAATTTACCCAGGAGACTGTAAATTTATTATACGAAGAATATCAGCCAGATCTTAGCACATTTACCCCATAGATTCTTGTTATATGCAGATCTGGCTCTAGCTTGCATTGTTTCGCAGTAATTATCAGTTCGTCATAAGACAAACGTTGTAACTCGCGCCAATTATTCGCATTGTACACTTCAGAGTCTGCAAAATTATCTATAATTTTATGTGAAATCTTTAGCCATCTATATGAAGCAAATGTGTATTTTGAAATATTTCAGTAACTGTACGACGTTTTACAAAAAATATGTTGGCAATCTTAACATTTTGATCTCGCCTGTAAATTGGCATGCCTCTTGTAACATGTTGTTATTTTAGAATAAATAGTAATTATTATATCACAACGGAGAATTTAGCTGTGATAGATGTTTTGTTGATTCATAGGAGCATGGTTCATGTCTATAGAAACTTAGAAACGTCGGGAAGAATACTTCAGTACAGTTGGGAAAATTTAGGTGTACAAAATATTTGCAGTAGTATAAGGCACAAACCCGGCCTTTGATACGAACAACGGAGAATTGAAACTGTTTCCATTAGCTATTACAAATCACTGAAGGTCGAAGTCGAATTTTGATATATACTTTCTTTGATATCGGATGAACAGGAGAGGCAGTTGGTTTGATGCATTGACTGATGAACAATAACTTGTAGAAAGCTCAAACTGTTTATAAAACAGACATCAAGCAACATTAACAGTTAATCCCATTCTAACTTGAACACAAACTTATGACGTCATCGGAAAAAAAGTAGAATCCAGCTTACGTTCTGCCAATTAAAGAAGTGTAGGCCAGCCAGGCAGATGATCTATGATAAATAATTTTGGCCTCCTAGAGTTGAATAGGGATGTAGTGACATCATCGTATATGTCAAAGTCACTCTATGTGGTTGATATCTAAATCCGGTTAACCTTTCATCGTATCCAGAGATTGTAGCAACTCTGATGATTACATGTAATAAAGACGACGTCCTAGCCTGAATGCAATAGTAACAACAGATTTTGAAAACAGTACGAACACTGGTGCAAGGGCCATTCCATGAAGTGTAATTCACCAATTTGTATTGGCCGCACTTGACCTTGGCAAAGATTTTAAAGGTGTCCGGCCCGGCGCTTTTTCAAGGTGGTAAGTAAAGATATAAAGTGATAACACACTGGTTGATAATATTTCAAAAGTAAACTTACAAAACACATGTATACTATATCTATCAGGCAGTATTGGCTGCTGGAAATATATCCATTTTTCTGGACGAGGTGAGATCAGTCCTTGGTGGTGTGTTTGAAATCCTGTCGTTGGTTGTCCGTTTTCGCTCGAAATGTATTTAATTTTATACGGTCGCCAAACTCGAGTAAGATCTATTTTTTACAAGTAGACCTCTTAGATCAGTTTCATATCCTCTAAAACAATCCTGAAAAAACTTTCAACATCTATATGTTTGCGTAGGGAATTTTACTGGAATGATCGGTATGATAATAATGAAAAGGTAATTTAACAAACTCAATGATTGTTTTTATAATTTGTCAGGTGGTTTTATTCATAGGTTGTTGGTTTTTCTGCGGAAAAATTTTAATTCGATTTGTTCAAATACAACAATACGTCACATGTGTTTTTAAATAAAAAATTACAGTTATGGTTCTTATCACTGTCATTTACTTGTATTCCAATTAGGCTGGTCTTAGACGCATAGGTGCAAATGGTGAATATAGGTTGGGAAAGTGTGCATTTTTACTAACATGAAAAAACCAGTCTATACATGGTACAAGAAACAGTCATACAAACATGATATTGCTACTGAAACTCGCAATAAAGAAAAACACCAACCCTCAATTTATTGAAGCTTCAGGTACAGTTGAATGGCTAGCAGTTTGAATCACATTAGCATAAAAACCCTTGAACCTTATTTGTTTATTTTTTATCGCCTTCATTTGTGTCCGCCTTAATATATGATTATCTGACTTTAATATACATTACAAATATGATATTATTTACGAAATAAAAATCGTAAAATGTGTCTAAAATATTAGCAAATAAAATTTTAGATCCTTCTGAATCATACATAGTTGTGTCTGTATTCATTTATATCTCTATGTACTATATAAGCATAAACCTTTCTAGATAAATCTACAATGCTTCATCACTTCATAATTCCCATTTATTTTATTAAGATTTACAAAGCATCAAACTTAAATAAGTTATTTCTTGACCAACTAGTCGCACCTGGCTCCAAGTTATATGAAAAGTTACTTCAGGATATTTTAGCTTTCGACTTGAATGTTTACAAAGTAACATCGCCATTATGGGCTTGGCTATTTTCTTAGAGATTAGCTTTACCCATATCCTTTCCTACGTATTGCAGTACCTCTGAAGAAAGCATTATAATCAAGTTCTGGTTCAGCCTAATAAAAGTCTTAGGTGTTCTTTAACCCATTTTGGTAACCTTTATATCTGTATGTGACTAAGACCTGCGTTACGGATATCCAACTACAATGTACCCAGACGCTCAATGCTCGCTAGCTTAGAATTACATAGCTTTTTAATGAAACCTAAATGCCTTGTAATTTAAATGAAATACTATTAATTTCGAAGGAATTGGGTCATAGGTAACGATGACCAATCAATAGATTAAGTATTGAAACTTCATCAGTTGAGGTGGTTGAGACATATGTTACGTATACTTCAACCACCGACTGCCTCGACGAGCTATGCTTTGTGGTGTAGGAGTAGGTTGAAAGGAAGCTAGGGGTGGCCAGACCAAAATATGGCATTAATCCATAAAGTCACTGACAAGTGGACTGAGCCATGTTGGTAAATGTAGACTACCTGGTTGGGGTCCACGAGATGATAGTAATGGATGGTTAGAGACCCTGAATGACATGGCTCAAAACCGTTTGTAACGGCGCAGGTGCATTCATTCCTTGTGTTCTGTCAAATCCTAATCTTCTGAATCACTCATCACACTTACCTTTCTTTGTTGAGTTCATTTCACCAGATTATACTTCCTGAATAGTATCTTCTAACGCTAATCCCTCTGATTACTGCTAATACTTCTACTACTTCTAATACTATGGGATTTGAACTGACAGTTGCTTTTCTGTGCTTATGTTGTATAGCAACTTGAGCTAATGTACGTACGTTTGAGTTTCTACGTTGTAACTGGCTGACTGACTGAATTACTCATATAAAAAACTGACTACCGTTTTGAAATGTTTTTAATCAGTAAAATCTGCGCATGTGACCATGAAACAAAGCTTTCATCTCAAATAGTCATACATAATTATGTTTTTGAGTCTATAAAAAGTGTTTTCAAACTGTTATTTCTGTGATTGCTTAGGAAGCACTGTCAGTGTGAAAAATATAATCATACAGTAAAATTCGTCTAGAGCCCATGAACTTCCAACTGATCCCATCTAATCTAATATATTTAAACAGTGTCGTTTTTTAGTTATCAGTAACTCTAAACACCAAGCAACAAATATATCTGTAATAGATGTCAACTAAAAGTTTGTGTAGAAAACATAAGGGTTAACAAGTAAGAAGCGAAATAAGTTTGTAAACTGCTTTTTAGTTCATATGATTCCTAATTTATCAGTATTTTCCTATTAATGAGTGTTAAACAATGAAATAATTTACCTAGCTCTCGTTTATTTTCCCTAGAAATTTGACAAAATACTCATAGCAAATCGAGGTGAAATCGCCTGTCGTATAATCCAGTCATGCAAACGATTAGGGATTCGTACTGTTGCTATTCACAGCGAAGTGGATTATTCGTCTCGTTTTGTGTCCATGGCAGACGAAGCAATATGTGTTGGTCCACATCCAAGTTCCCAATCTTATCTAAATATGCCTGCTATCTTAAATGCTGTAAAGTCAACAGGTGCCCAAGCAGTACATCCTGGTTATGGCTTTTTGTCAGAAAACGCTCTTTTTGCTGCAGAGTTGGAGAAAATGAATGTTGTCTTCCTTGGTCCCAATTCTAGAGCTATCAAAGTTATGGGAGATAAAATTGAAAGCAAACGAGTTGCTAATCAAGCTAAAATTAATTGTATCCCGGGTTATGATGGAGAAGTGAATAGCCCAGATGAAGCTGCTAGGATTGCTGCTGAAATCGGTAAAACTACTTTGCATATTTTCCTAGAAAACATACATATATTCGCTTCAATGATTGTTTGTTACTATTACTTTGCATTAGCTGGGACATAATCTCTTAAGAATTAAAAATAATGTAAAATTTTCTACTCAGCTTAACAAAAGTAACAAAATCTATCGGATTTTATACGTCGGTTAGTCAGTTGCAACGTAGAACTTCGTACGTATGTACATAAGTTCATGTTGCCATACCACATTATTAGCACAGAGACGCAAATGTCAAATCAAATCCCATAGTGATAAAGATAGTAGAAGTATTAATGTTAATAAAGAAGACTAGGGTTCGAAGATATTATTCAAAAAAATATAATTCAGTGAGATAAGGTTAGAAAGACAAAGGTAGAGGTGCTGGCTAATCCAGAAGATTAGGATTTGAGAGAGCTCAAAGAGTGGATGCACCTGCGCCATTGCAAACGATTTTGAGCCATGTCGTTCAAGGTCTCTAACCATTGATGACGTCCGTTATGATACGAATTGATCTAGGATTGGATAGTAAATCACTGAGGCAGGCTCAATTAAAAACGCTAACATCACATTGGACGCCCCATTTGCACACCCTCTTTGAGTCCTGACTTCCACCGCTCCAGCCTTCTTCCATTCCCGCTATAGCTACCTTTCCTTCCTGTCGGTGCTCTATTTCTTTCTGGCTTTTGCTCTATTTGCTTTCCGTTTTCCTCTTCTGAGCAATACAATGTAGGAAGTTTAGTCTATACTAATGCCTCAAATAAATTCATCGATATTAGTTAATAAATTATTGTTATAAATGCAATTGTAGTTTTTTTTCTGATTGGACACAGTTACTTACTACTCAAATGCCATGATGTTGTGTACGACAGTTTTTTTATTCACATTTTGATTCTATTAATCTTATAGGTTATCCTATTATGATCAAAGCATCAGCAGGTGGTGGAGGTAAAGGTATGCGTATAGCATGGAATGAAAAAGAAACTCGTGAAGGTTATCGACTTTCGAAGTCGGAAGCAAAAGCCAGCTTTGGAGATGATCGTATGTTAATTGAAAAATTTATAGACAATCCAAGACACATTGAAATACAGGTAGATCTTATTGTTTAACAGTGTTCTTGTGAATTTTTGAATGATTGCAGTAAACTTTTTTTAAATCTAATTATTATCCATAACGTACAAGTTTTCAAATTATTACTGAGGATTAAAAATAATGAATATCAACAACTAATTGATTGTGTATGATTTTTTTCAAAATATATTTGTTATTTTGGATTTCGAGTTACTTACTCATGCTTTATTTTCATTTTTAATTAATTTTTACTTGTTAATGAAATAGGCTCTTCTAAAGTTCATGGCGTTACCCTCATAAACTATAAATGTAATAATGAAAATCGTATTTCGTCTACTTAACTAGTTAAACCGTGCTTTGTGTAAAATGCAATTTTTTTCAATAACACATCTCAATTGATGAATTGCACAGAAATATCATAAATTTTATTTCTTCTATGTAGAAGGAAGTTTCATGATAATCCTTATTGTCTACGTTTCATTCTATAACTTGTTTATGGCTTTCAATTGCTCAAATGATCCGTAATTTACTAGCCAATAAAGTCTATCATTTGTTATTCACTTAACAAATTTTAATCCCTGCGTGGGACATAGATGAAATAAAGCATGACTACATTAGCTGCGCGCTGATTGGCTAACTCCTATTCAGTCAGCGCCTGATCGATGCTTGGAAAGCATTCTACATAATTCTCGTGTTATTAGCTGCACGCTGATTGGCTGAATCTAATCGATCAGCGCTAGTCGATCACATGGATTACATTCCAGAAGCTTCTCATTTAAAACCTATAAAGATACTAACGTCGTTTTTATTTGGCTGTTTGCTTCGGCTTCTGCTTCCATTTAAACTTGCTATTTGGAATATAGTCTTTTTCTGTTCAACTGTGCTCTGCTTTGGGTAGAGATGGATAACAGTAGCGATGGAGAAAAAGGAAAAAAATTCAAGATGCTCATATAAGATGACCAGCTCCACCGAATACTACAGAAACAGCAAACACAACTAAATGCCTATGATGAACACGATAAGTTGCAGACACTGTTAATGAGTACATCAATTATTCCAAGTTTTTCTAGCATATCTAGACCAAGAAGATCAAGGTTTGGCCGTCCTGTCAGATAACATATTCCTGTACATTTTGTTCCATTGAAGGAAAATTCACATTGTAACTTACCAACCAGTTTTAACACACCACCTGAAGCACTTTTAGCCGTTTTCTTAGATGGCTTCATTGGCGGTTTCCCCAGAAAGTTATACGTTTCTCTAGACACTAAGGTGATATCTGATGCCGTGTCGATTTGAAAATGAGCTGATATGCCGTTCATCTGGATGGTAATATACTTTCTCCGAATATCATAGTCTGTTTAAAAAGCAGCTACCAGAGAAAGAGATTTAGACTCGGCTAAATTCACTACATGTCGAGTACGTTTATGCTTCTTCTTGGGCTGAGACGTACGATTCGGTAGATAATGACCTTCTTTATGTCCACGTTTATTGCAACTCTGACATTTATGCTTCTTAAATGGAGAGAATCGTGCATAATGACAATCTCCACATAACCAACATGCAGTCGATGGTTTGTTTCGAGTGGTTGTCGACTTCTGAACTTTTAACCTAGTAACAGCATCGATACTACTGTCGGTTAAAATAGGACTTGCCTGTCCAGTCAACTCGTTGTCTCGTCTGATGCTTTGTAGCCGCTTACACTCATCTGTCGAAATTCTGAGTGTGACGTTCGGGTCTTGATCCAGTCGAACCAAAAGTCTAGTCCCGATCTCATCGTCTTGTGGTGACTAAAGATCTTTGATGAGTATTAAGCATTTAAATTGGTCTTCTGTCAACGAGCGTAACTTGAACCGTTCATATTCTCTGTTGACGATGTCTGCTAGAACCCCATATTCATCATCTTCGCGTCTCACCAGATTTAGACACTGATATCGAATGCTGGGTTGTAATAATAGAGAATTATAACAGTGGCCACGAGGAGAAAGGAAAAAAATCAATATGCCCATATGAGATGACCAGCTACTACGAATACTACAACAACAGCAGGAGACGGTAATGCAACTGTCAGAGATATTCAGTGACTCATCCTCGTTGTATAGCATTCAGGTGGTGTGTTAAAACTGGTTGGTAAGTTACAATGTGAATTTTCCTTCAATGGAACAAAATGTACAGGAATATGTTATCTGACAGGACGGCCAAACCTTGATCTTCTTGGTCTAGATATGCTAGAAAAACTTGGAATAATTGATGTACTCATTAACAGTGTCTGCAACTTATCGTGTTCGTCATGGGACACCCCAATACTTACAGAGAAGAAAAGTGAAAGGATAGAAGAAAAACTGTAGAGAAAGTTTGCCTGTGTTTCTCAGAACGCCCTTGGCCACTGTACCATGCTGAAATCTCACTTATCATCGAAATCAGATGCCAAACCTATTTTTCGTTTGAGACGTCTTGTCCCATATGCGGCTCTTGAGCATGTTGATCAGGAACTTAATCGCTTTCAACAGGCTGGGGTAATCCAAACAATAATCTACTGTGCTTTGCAATTCATAGTTCATTTTAAATACTATGATCAAAATTCATCTTCATTTGATGGTTTGTCAAATTCATTGATTTGAAGCTTTCACTATGAATCGACATCAATCAAAAAACCATTGGTAAACATTGACCACTCTCTCATGTTTCAATTCGATCTGTCATCACTACATATTTGATTAGTGTTTTCTTGATGGGATTTGAAAGTCCTAGAATCATTTTAAAAAAGAAATCACTACTCTCGACACGAAAGTCATACTGTTCTGTGTAATTATCAACAGTTTATCAGCTGATATCAGTGTACAGGTAAAAAATAACTAATACTGCCAGTATGTTAGGTAATATTAAACATTACAATATTTGATAAGACTTTTATAGATGTATTAAAATGTGTTACTGTCTTATGGATCCTGTTGTACATATAATTAATCGTAATATTGTAAAGCTTTTGATTTTTCCCATCCAAATAAATATCTATTGGCTAAATTTGAAGTTTTGTTATTTATTGTACAGATACTATGTGACAGACATGGGAATGCTATATATCTTAATGAACGAGAGTGCTCAATCCAAAGACGCAATCAGAAGGTTATTGAAGAAGCACCTAGTACATTTTTGGATCCATCTTCTCGTAAAGCAATGGGAGAACAAGCTGTCTCATTAGCCAAAGCAGTTGGTTATGATTCTGCAGGTTTGAATATGCCTTTGTTTATAATTTTTGTTGTGTAAATTAACAACAATCAACTTCGTCATTGAATACAATTCATTATCAAACATATGGAAATGTAGTCTCCAAAAGTTGTGTAGTTCTACGTAGAATTATTATGTTAATTTAGTAGCTATATTGAAGCCTTTCTATTGTAGATACTTGAGTTCATAACTCAAAGCCAATAATCCAGTGGAATTTTCTTGCTAATTAGGTGCTTTCTTCTATTCCTTCCATTTTTAACCTGAAATTTGAATTTAATTCAGTAGTTTGGAAGGACTGAATAATCAAATAGGATTTTTTTCATTAAAACGACTTATGTAAGCTACTAACTCTTGGGGAAAAACCTAGATTACTTATTGTATATAAATATCATATTACTGTTTATTAATTCTGTAAGACTGATAGGACCGCGTGCCTGTTCTTATCTCTTATGACAAACCATTAAAAATTGTCGAAAATTTCGTATATTTGGGTCTTTGTGTAAGCGCTGGTAGTTCCGTGCCAAATGTGACCAGTCTGCGCATGGTAAAAGCCAGAACAGCTTACGCCGATTTTCCTATCTTTGTCACCATTGTGACAGTCTGGATGTAGATAGTTGGATTTATGCATCGATGTAGGCCATTATTCGATGTTTGTGATACCCGACCCCTGCGAGCTGATTGTACTGACTGCCCTTTTGTATTTTTGTGGTGCATTTTTCTTACTGATCTATGTACGTTAACTAACTACTATCTTTGTATAGAATTACTCAAAAGATTATTACTCTCTATCTTTATGTCACTATTTTTAAACGTCTAGCAAATCTGACTACTTATTGTCTTCAACTATAAAAAAAATCATACGAATATAAGTGTTAAAATATTTAAGTAACATTAGAAATTGTGACTAGAAAGTCAAGATGCTCTCCTTGTTAAGTAAAGTTTTAGCACGTTTCTCATCCTTCTTTTTTTAAATCTTTCTATCAACCAAGTTTCTACTCATCAAAACATTATTACCTTAGTTTGTGGCAAACTAAATCTTCTCTCGTGAGTTAGACTTTTCCATCTATGCAAAGTGTTTTTTTTTCATGTTCTTTTGATTCGAAATTCTTTAGGAACTGTTGAGTTTTTGGTTGATTCCAAACGTAATTTCTATTTTCTTGAGATGAACACTCGACTTCAAGTGGAACATCCAATCACTGAGTGTATAACTGGTGTTGATGTTGTACATCAAATGCTTCGAATTGGTAAAGGCCATTCATTAATGTTATCTCAGGTGAGATTTATACAATTCTAAATGTAATTCAATTCCATGTAAATTATCTTTGCACTTTTGTTATTACTATGTTTTAAAGTAATAATTCTTTTTTTGTTCAATTCGTCACGTTAGTTATTATTAAATGCACAAAAATTAGAACATAGCGCTAAAAGTGAGTAACTGAGATAAATGCGCAATTTCGGATTTTAAATGAAAACTAGAACAAAACTAAGATATTTTTTATTTATAATAGGCTAAGTAACCATTTTTCTAAAGTTCGGCACCTTGTTTCAATAGTTAGCTAAATATGACTGTCAAAAAGGACATAATATATATCCACAGTTTTTGAATAGCAGATTCGAATTACAATGGATGGTATTCAGAAATGTACTTGTAAATATTTTACTCGTATGATTTATATGACCATTTAGAAATTAAAAAGAAATCACTAAAAGGACATGATCGATTAGAAAAAACCGTAGTCTTTACACACAGGTAAAGTATTTCGAATTGATTGGGACTGTAGGAAGTAACACTGTATGGTGTATAATTTTTCTTATTAGTTAAAGGAGTTTGACTGTCAGTCACCTTTTCTTTCATCAATACATAAAAAATATCTTTAACTTTGTAATTCCAAAATCATTCCAACTCATTTTTGTATTTTCAAATAATATTGTAAGCTAATGTAATAAGTTATATTATTTTATTTTGAATGAAATAAGGTGTTTCATCTGAAAAATGTGATGGATTTACGCTATACATACTTCGAACAATCTGTCCACACATATACTTGTGAAGGCATTTTATGTGAAGAAGATCATTCAGATAAAAGTTCAAACAGATATAAGGTAGTAATTGTAAATGAAGGTGTGAGAAAACTAACGCAATATAGAAAGGATAAGAAAAGATAGGAATTTGTCACATTACCATAGGCCATAAAATGACTTGAAGATTACCAGGGTAAATTCAAGGTTATAACAAATTGTTTCTGTACACATATGGGAAATTTTAACTTACGAATAACCAAGGCTTCCATAAACCTCAAAATTCGTCCTTCACCGTTTCTATACAATGTTTTGAAGGCTGTCTTGATGTCAATCTTATGCCCTGTCGCAATGTGTTTTGCGATCGATGAACATTGTTTTCTGTTTCCTACGTTTATCGGGTCATCTGAAGTCAACTGATCTTGAAGCCAATTAAGTACATGTTCCATAACCCTTGATTGTCAAAAAAAATATCTTCAAATATCGGATTCTTTATTATTTTTGTCTTGCAAAAAAACTTGCCTAAAGCTGAATTTTAATTATAAGGAATATGAACGGTTTATTCACTCTTTACCTACTAAACTCGTAGATAATAACTCGTTTTTAAATTACTTTAAAATATGAATGGTAAAATAGTATCACAAGAATTTTAATGTAGTTAAAAATTAATTCATTGAAATAATATTTTGTAACTAGATAGTAATTGATTAGCATCTTTTTTCAACTGTCTAATATGTTTCTTTCTGTTGTCTTACAACTTTGTAAGGTTATATTTTTAGTGTGTATTCAAAATGATAGTTAATAACAGAGTATAGATATATATCAATAAAAAATCTTGGATTGTTCGACAGAAACACCTTAGGATTATCGGATAGTAATATCGTTATTGTGCATACAAGTTTTCTGAAAACAAAAGATCATAACTTGTATGTGACTATCGCGTTCTAGCACGTTCATCATTTTTTGTTTCTCTGTTAATATAAATATCCGACTTGTTTTCCTTACTATGTATCTTTAGTGTATTAAATGATCCATTTTAACGTATATATACTATTTTTAATTTCTATTGTAACTGTCACTTCAAAATGATCAGTCTGATATACCTGTAAATGGATGGGCTTTTGAATGTCGTGTATATGCTGAAGATCCATATAAATCATTTGGTTTACCATCTATTGGGCGTTTACGTACCTATAGTGAACCTTTGCACATTCCTAATGTTCGCTGTGATAGTGGAATCAATGAAGGATCAGAGATTTCCATACACTATGATCCTATGATCTGTAAACTTGTTACATATGGACCAGATCGTCAAACTGCCTTAAACACTATGACCAAAGCTTTGGATAGTTATGTTATTCGTGGTGTGACTCATAATATTCCTTTACTTCGTGATATTGTCACTGAAAAACGTTTTGTATCCGGAAATATTTCGACACAGTATCTATCTGAAGTATATCCTGATGGATTCAAAGGTTGGTTTCATTCAAACATTTAGTGATTATTTTCTAAACAAATCCGAACACATATTATCTTTTAGGTGGCTATAAGAGTGTTGTTAATTTTAAGATTTGCAGGGAAATATACCTCGATATTATGTCAAGCACAAGTTTTGTTAGTAAAGATCTCTTTCAAATGCATCATATACAGTATTGTGTCTGAGGGTTGTCTATTGTCTTGATCAGTAGTGAAGTTATGCATAAAATTTGACTGATTAACACAGTTATCACTAAAATCAATGGATTTTGGTCAACTTTAGGTTTAATGTTTCTGGATATTGTTCCGTTTGAAGAGATTTTACATTGTAGACTTGATTTACTAATGGAACTGTTGAAGATCAGTAGGTATTAAAGAGCTGTCTCGTCATACTATGCAACTACTCGATAATGTGCATTAGTGTCCCTACCGGGGTTTTAAACTAAAGCCGTCAGGCTTTGTACAGAACTCAATCGCTCTCATTTCCCACCTGTTGATTTGAAATATTTTTGGCGACTATCATTCATTGTCATCAGTGATGCCTGCCTCATACTTGACATAATTGAGCCCTACTTATTACAGCCTCCGACTTGAGCTTTCCCACTTAATTACTGATTCATTTTCTGACAGAGGAATTCACTAAATGATTTGGTTATAAATAAAAGAGATTTATGTCTGGCAGTGGAATCTAGGACGCACGTTTCATCTCATCTGGGACTCGTCAACTGGATGTATCTGCATTCCAGTGTTGGTATTCACTTCAGATTTGACCGTAGTTTGTTACATCAAAACTGGTAACTGTACAATCGTAGTTGATTATTATCTTGTGATACCTCTGATTTTTTAATGACAAAAGTTTATTTAGACCTTAAATGGTCATTCATGTTCCCGTTGTTATAATTATGAAATCTGTTTGTAGCCTTGAGTGGAGCATTTCAAATTAGATCTTCTTAAGCATCTTACTTTCGATTTTATATCATTCTTAGGCAAAGTACTTGATCAAAAGGAACTAGATACACTAATTGCTGTTTCTGCGTCTATATTTGCCAAAAATGATGCACGTATTCGAAATTTTTCTCGGTAAGCTGTTGCACCATAAAATTTTATTCTATAGCCAAAAATATTATTTCATTATTCAATTCTTTTCATGAATTGCTTCGATAAAGAAATAAGTCTTTGGTAAATACTAGCTTGAACACACTAATACGATTTTTGTTAGTATATGCTTACTTGATTTCTAGTATACTTCATTGGCTTGAAGAACTTTGAAGTATTTTTTTGTCCATGAATGTGACTTCTCAATAGTTCACATTCACGATCTCATAAGGAAGTCAGATCTTGGACATTGAAACCTAGTATGTTTAATTTGTAAAAATGGATGACTAGTTCTCGACATTAAGTTATAATTTATGCAAATATTTTTCTGTTTTTCATGTTACTGAGAAGACAGTTGAGCAATCGTATCACACTAATTGGACTTACGCAGCCATGTATAAGTTTAAACAGAATGTGTAATGATCACTATAACAAATGGTTTTCTTAACCGGAATTCATCAAATTCATTAGTTATTGTCGATATTCTTCTTAAAGTAGTATGTGATACTTTTGGCCTTACGATTTCATTTATTATCGCAATATTCTTTATTTGAGCATATAACTGATATCCACCGTGTAATAATGAAAATTCAATTAACCTAGATATAAATGAAACAAGTTTTTTTAATCGAATGATAGATATTTAGTTAGACGTTGGAAGAAAGCTAGGGGTGGCTAGACAAAAACATGGCACAAATCCATCAAGTCGCTGACAAGTGAACTGAGTCATGTCGGTAGGTGTCGACTACCTGGTTGGGGTCCGCGAGATGATAATAATCGATGGTTAGAGACCCTGAATGACATGGCTCAAAACCGTTTGCATTGGTGCAGGTGCATTCATTCCTTGTGTTCTCTTAAATCCTAAACTTTTTCTTTTTAAGCTTATTTCACTAGATTCTATTTCTTGAATAATATCTTCAAACCCTAATCTCTCCGATTACTGCTAATACCTTTGCTACCTCTACTACTATTGGATTTGCATTGACAATTACATCTCTGTGCTAATATGGTATGGCAACTTGAACTGATGCACGTACGTACGAAGTTCCACGTTGCTGTTAATGATGATGAGACGTTCACTTGAATAAAATATTCTGTCACATAATTAATCTCAAATGCTATCATAACTATTCCTAAAATTTCCTATCAGGTATTCTGATTTTCAAATGTTTTTTTTTTCCATCCCCCAACAAACTAGAGAATCACAATGGGATTTAGTTGCATCCCTGAATGAAAATCATGCTAATACGGATTCAAAAAGACGTTTATTTGTTCGTTGCATTGTAACACATGATTGTTCAGGATTTCAAGTTCGTATGTCACCGTGGATACCTCCTAAGCATATTAATCAACAGGATGTACATGTTACTGCTCAATCTTCAATAATTCAAGAAACAGTTGTTAATGTAGCTGATAATTTTAAATTATCTGACAAGGTTATAATTCATTCATCTAATGGTAATGAAGTAGGTGAATAAATCTACTTTCCTCTTTATTCACTCACATACAATGTTTCTCATGTTTTGCATTACAATAACTTATCAATTATTATATACATTTCTAAATGTTGTTTACAAAAGTTTTGAAAAGGTACATCTAACTTACTAACCTAGTTATTGAAGATTGGAAATTTTATACATTAATAACGTTCCTGATTCATAGTGCAAGATTAGTTAGAGTGAGATTTGTTTTAGTTGCTTACAGCTTAGTTCTCTTTTATGCTAATCAAGAGTTTATAGTCGCTCACTAGAACTCAATGACTGTTTTCATATTGATTTACTCTACAGCATTAACCAGAATAATTGTATTAACTAGTCGATAGACAACAACCAAATGGTATGTTTCTCATCTTAAACAATAGTCGATATGAGTTAAAAAGCCAGATGTGGTTGGAATAGCTCAGAGTAAGTTTTTTTAACGCCACTAAGGTTCATCGATAATGAGTATCAGGTGGCATAAAACATAGTTTCAGAAGTGTATGATGATTACCTCTTATCACCTTAAATCAGGATGATATTTACTCCATATGTTTTCATTTACATAGGTCTCCGTTTCATTAAAATATACATTTTGTAATTTTTTGATGAATAGAAAGAAAGGGTAATCTAAGTGAGTCAGCTCATTAAATACTTCATGTACTCAAATAACTCTTCAGAATCGTGCATAACTGTTTGAATTTACAATAAAATCTATTCGTTGAGATTCTCGTCCTTATTTTGTTTGCAAAATTAATTCCTAATCTTTTGTTTAGGTAATTTTACAGTTACTCGACAAAAGTATCAATAATGTTCGCTTACAATATCTTGGTACTGCATTCCCTATCGAAATAATGAATACAACAGCAGCATGGCTTCGTGCTGCTTACATGCCTCCTGCCCGAGTTATCGACTATGGTTCAGTTTGTATGGCTCCTATGCCTGGTTTGGTTCGGTCCTTTGCAGTCAAAGCAGGTGATCGAGTGAATGAAGGTCAAGAAGTGTGTATATTAGAGGCTATGAAAATGCAAAACAGCATAACAGCATCTAGATCGGGAGTTGTAAGTGGACTGTTTCATAATTTTCTATGTGAACATGTCTACATCGTACGTACATTTTGTGTAGTTTTAATCACACATTGATAGTATGACGATAATATTAATAATAATGAAAACACTAGTTATATTTCTAATTAAATGCAACTCTTTACTACGCTAATATACGATTCTATTTTGTAACAGTATTCGAATTTTTTTTTTGATACCCACAATAAGAGGCTAATACCATTTAGAAAGGCTATTAACTTATTATGTATATTCGTATCTGAGACACTACGACTTTATACTTTTATTCCAAATAGTCAAATGAATGATCAGTAAGTGTCTTATGTTTTCATAACATGGTTATCAAGACTAGAAAATATGAGAATGCTAAACGTGTCGCATTTTCCATGTTTCCATACATTACGACTGTGTATGGGACAGTGAATGTATACTGCTCGAGTCCTTTAGATAAGAATAAACAGAATTAGAAATCTCCAATATTTATTGCACACACTGAACCAATGGCTAACTGGAAGAATGTGACGATGGTTGTAATTAGATTAAGGTAAAATAAATTTTTTATCATTCAACTACTTACTGATCTGTATCATTTAAACTGCTGAAGTGTTTTCTGTTGATATTGTCAGAATAGTAAAAAAAAATACGTCAGTTGGTTTTTGGGAAGTTGACTTAAAATTTATCTCACAAATGTAGATCCAACCACCTTTTAATAGTTTATGAAGATTGTGGACCAAATTTACATTCTCTATCTATCCGTTTGCGTTTTACTAATGCTATCTTATTTGTTCATCTTTAACTATCATTTTAATACATGTCCAAACTAGCAAACCTTTACACTGAATTCTTTACTTACTGGAAACTCATCATATATTTAAAGCGCTATCGCTTCTTGTAAAGCTTCACTTAGGGTGTATGATGTGATTTTCAAGGGGATTAGGTCATGAACAGGGTAGTTTCATTTGTTTCTTGAGTTATGAGGTCGATTGTCACTTTCCAATTGCTGATACTGTTCAAGGACACTCTTTCTTAAAGGACCTGAAAGAAAACTGGATTAGTATTGAATTAAGCGATCTAGGTGGGTGACTACAGAGCCTAAGTTACAATTGCTTGAACCAACTTACACATGATTTTTCTACAGGTAGCAGCTCTTGATGTGTTAACTCCTTACCATAAAGACCTTATTGCTGGCATTGGCAATCCGTTGGGTGAACGGTAAAGATGTCCTTCCCTCATCCTTTCGTCGTGAGACGGCAATAGCACTGTCTATGCTGATCGTCTGATGGAGATAACTTAAAACTGTCACATTCCTGTACAGTCAACAGTATGACTTTATCCACGAACTTTAAGTTGCTGTTTACAGTTTTACCATTCCCCAACCAGCCTGCCTAGCTAGCATAGTCAAACCTAAAGAACAATCGTCTTTATGATAACCAAACCTGATCGTTACGTTAAGCTAGTGTATATAGTCTGTTTAGACGTAGTCGTTGTGCACTAAAGGATAAAGTTTAAAGCACCATGGCTCAATTCTTCAACGATTCTGTTGGGATATTCATTCAATATCCTAAGATAATTGTTTGTAAGTCTAATTCTATTGGTTGTCGTGACTATCAGTGTCACTTTAAATGTTATTTCCTATCGGTCGTCCTAACTGTCAATGTCACAGACTTCATTGTTGTTTCCTACTCGACCTAACTGCATAAATGTTATGTCCGTCACTTGGTACGCTTGAATCTATTACGAGTTCACCTTAGTCGATAAACGCGAATGAGACAATTACCAGCGTCCAGATAGGCTACCTTGAATCCTAAGCTATAACAGAACTCTTTTTAAGCGTAGAAAGTATATTCTACAAACACCCAGCAATCACAATACAATCAAGCACACAACTCTCGTTTATTTATACATCATAGAAACGTCCTTGGGACAGTTACGAAAATAGCACACTAAAATACACAGCAGCCAATCATAGCCATGGATTTTCCTGGTGGGAAATGGTATCTCAAGGTCAACTGATCAGCCCACTCTAGCGCACGTGAAATCCGAAATAAGGCATTTATCAAGTGAGTTCTGTGGATCTAGCATCCCCAACAATAAATACGCATTATCTGTAACGTTTTATGACCCGGATCCTTGACCTCTTCTGGACTCGGACGTCGTGCTTTCTGGATACTTGTAGAATACATGTTCTACTTCATATCAAGTCTTCTTCTTTTACTCAATGAGAGTTTGGGACAATTTGGATTAGAGTAGCTTATCGTGTCGCCGGATCCTCAATTCTCGCTCTCGTTTTCCGACTAAGGTAAACTCGTAATAGTTCAAGCATATCAAATTACGTGGTTATATGCAGTCGTAACAGATTCCTCATAACCTAGTGTAGTATACCTAGGAATGATGTATCAATGAACAACTAATCGTCATCTTCCCTAAACAGATTAAATTACTTGTTATCATTTCACTTTCTATTGATTTATATTACATATAAACGCATAAGTTAATCAAAGAAAAATGCGCAGTTTCGACCCTTTTTTAAAATACAACATTGTTTATCATAGAAAAATATGTACAGTAGCTAATTACTCTCCTAATTTATTATGTAGTTTTCTAGTTCTTAACCAATTTCCATTTTGTTTTTGTGGTTTTTCTTTTCAGATTAAAAAAGTCCACTTCAAAGCTGGTGATTCTGTCGGTGAAGGAGATATTTTAGTTGAGTTAGAAAATTAATAAAGTTATCAACATTATACAAATGAATCATTAGTGAAATATTTCCACAAAAACTGTAATTAGTCTTTCTCTTTACTCTTCTTTTTTCATCCATTTTTTATTCATGATATTCATTTTGATTTTAATAGATTTATTTTTTCGCATACAAATTTTACTTACTGATATGTTTCTTTTATTGTAAATAGTTTTGTTTTATTTATCAACGAGTAGTATCTTTTGCATTTATCGATTAGGCTTGTTACAAAAAGTGAAAATAATTTTTCCTACTAGCCAACGATTATTTCCTATTGTGTTATATATATAAATATATATAAATACATTTCTCCACCTTAAGTTTTGTCAATCTTTGTGCAATGTAGAGCACCAAGAGGGTTTTCAATGGCTCAGGTGCATCCACTCTTTGTGTTCTTTTTAATTCTAACCTTCTGAATTCCTCATCATCTCCATCTTTCTCCTTATAAATTTATCTCACCGAATTATACTTATTGAATCATATCTTCGAACTTTAATCTTCTCCATTACTGATAATACTTCTAATATCGCTACCATTATTGGATTTGAACTGACAATTGCCTCTCTGTGCTGATGTGGTATGGCAACCTGAACTGATGTATTTACCTACGAAGTTCTGCGTTGTATTTGTCTGTCTGAACCAGGGGGATATGTTGATTGTCTGAATTTTCCACTCTACATCAGTACAATGAGATAAAATTATCAAGAGGAATTCAAGAATGTTAAAAGTAGTCACAGTATCAGTAGTAGGGACTAGGTTTAGAAGTAAAGAAAAAAATATGAGAAGATTCTGGAACTCAGAATTGAACAGAAGGGAAAGAATGAATGAGCACCATAGTATGACTTTAAATTATTCTGTCTCATATTATGTGAAACCAGTACACTCTAGTGCTAGTTATTAAACAAACCACAACCCGGTAATTTGCATCTATCAATATGACTTTTAAAAAATAAATATTCAAATATATTTCTGAATTCCTTCTGATGATTACAGTTGGAAAATAGAAATTACAATTAAGAAAGATTTCTAAGTAACAATTAGTCACTTTTCCTCAGAATAATCAATATTGTTCATTATCATGGTCTTACTACTTACTAAATACATAATTGATATTAACTAATATTTCAAGTGATTGAAACGTACAAAGTATATATGAATTCAATCTTGTAAATAGTATCATGCTAGAATGGATTTTAAACATTAGTGTCAGTTAACTGTCATCAACCTAAAGCCTAGCACAGATTTGCCTTCGTTCAACTTACTACATTAGTAAAACGAGGTAAACTGTAAAAGAGATTGAAATAGTGTTTTAGTAATAATAATGAAAAGAACTAAATATTGGAAATTTAGTTTAAAAGGACAGAGTGAAAAGGTATGTACGAAAGAATAATGGAATTTGAAATCAATAGGACAATGAGGAGTAAATGCATATGAACTATTCTTAGCTATGCTATACAAAGCCCCTAACCACTGATTGGAGCTATAGCACAAACTGTAACCAGATAATATGCATTTGTTAATATAAGCTAGACCCAAAATCAATGATTTCATGGTCTAATATCACGTTTTGGTCTGGTCTCCCTTAGTTTTTTGCCAGCCCACTCCTACACTAAGCACGTCGCCCATTCATATGGACTTTGGTTTTACATACGAAGTGCATGCTCCAGTTGACAAAGATTCAAAAACTAATCAACCACCTTTGGTCACTCCGCGGTATAATAATACGTGATTGCAAATTTTGGTGAATCGAAATGAAAAAGTTTCTTGAAATTTTCCATAACTGAATACTAAAGATTACATACGAAATTAACGTTTAAAAAATAATTCAATTATGTACAACAGATATAAGTAAGTGGAAATTATGCAGGGTATTTCTATATTGTTATAATTGTGATATTTGAATGTCATATAATGACCATTAAAATATGAAATATTATCTATACTGATGTTTAAAGTTCATCTTAGCTTGTTACAAGTTGAAGATCGAATTCGCATACTATGTACATTCCAATCATTTGAAATATTAGTTAGTATGAATTATGTATTTAGGAAGTATTAAGACAATGTTAATCAATGATATTGATTAATCTGAGAAAAACAAAAGGAATTCAATTTCAGGGAAAAAGTGACTAATTATTATTTTTTCAATAGTTGTTACTTAGAAATCGTTCTTAATCATAATTTATATCTTTGAACTGTAATCATCAGAAGCAATTCGATGATATACTTAGACGTTAATTTTTAAAATAGAACTGTAGTTTATCGATCTGTATCGTAATGCACTGATTGAGTCTACTAATCATCTTCACAAAATACGATAGTTAAACTAATAAACGACTTTGCGCAACCAAAATGATACGAAATGAATTTTTTCGCATGTATTACTTCTAAGCTCTTTAAATGATTTCAAATATCCTTTTTAAACCATATTGACTCCTCCATTTTAGTACTTTTGTGGGTTGCGTTGAACTTGTAGTAGGGCTCACTACTTTAATGGCCCGTGAACTGACTACTTTATTTACCGACGTTCGAGTTTGCTCTGAAATAAATCTTCCCTTCAGTTTCTGTAAATCATACTTAAGCGAACTCTGTTTGTGCCAACTACCGAACTGGTTGGAAGCGTTCATTCAAAGCAATCGTTCATGCAGACAGACATGATAATACAGAGCGTTGAAGTAAAACGAAACGAAGTGGAGAAGGCCAGTGAGACAACTCAATGTAATAAGGCATGACTAAGCAATTATACAAAGACAAAATAAGCAAGTAAGCAGCACACGCAAGATACGTGCAAATGATTGACAAGGTCAAAAGGAATGTGAATAATGACCCGGATGAATGGATTTATTAAAGTGTTCGAAGACTGAGACCAAGCTCTGTGGGCTTGACATAAAAGTAGACACTCTACAGTACTCATATCTGATCAACAGTAAGTGGTTTTAATATTTATTTAAATCATAAGATGTAAATGTTTAGATGAGAATTATGAAACTTAGGTTACATTGTCTTACTTTCATTTGGGTCTTATAATGGTTATCATAAAAAATGAAATTGAGTAAATTCACTGCCTTTCTCTACTGTAATGTATTGTATTATAGGTAACTGAGCAAAACTATATGCGGTAATTTTATGTCTGGCAATATCATAGACTGGCAATTCATAGACTACAGGACTATTCTTCGTATGGTTGATTCTTCTTCTTGAAAACTGAAAAACCTTAAGGATTTTTAAATCATACTATTTCAATAATTATATACATTGAATGAGTTACATCATATTGATTATACTTGATCATACTTGATAATACATCTGAACTTTTCCATAATCATATAAAATAAATTTAGTTTCAATTGTATGCGTCTGCCTAGTGGACCGTTTTAATGTCATAGTGCTTCAGCGTCAATATTTTAAATTTCTATTAGCCTACTTACAAATATTAAGTAGTACGATATTTTGAATGAGCATAATAGTTATGTCAGTTTCTTAACTATCAAATTGAATTGCGTACTTCATCGATTCATAGCAACCATGTGTTCGTCTAATCTATGATAAGCAGGTCATATATGTTGCCTATCATTCGTTTTGCATTTCTATATCCAGTGCAATTCTGAATGAAACTTAATCAATTAACAGTTTCGCCCAGGGATCTTTTTAATCATATTCATAATTAGTGACCTTATTATATAATATTTGAATAGAAAATTTCACAGAATGAACAAGAAAATAATCACAGAAACTACCATGTGATTTGTATATCCCTACTAGAAAATTATAAATATCATTCAAACATGATTTAACAATGAAAACAAACTAATTAAATCATGAAAAAGAAATCCAAGTGTTACACTAACTCTGATAGTCCTAATATTGACAATACTATTACCAGTAGCACTGGTTATTGTTCTGTTAGTCATGAAAACTTAAGTCCTACAACTACAATTCTATTACCAAGAAATTTATTGGATAGTCCAATACACAATGATAAATCAATTTTACCATTAACCCTAAAGAATAAACAGAAAAATTCTTATCAAAAAATACCAATAATGCATTTGAAAGCAGAGAAGAAGAGCCAAAATTCCGATAACAATATCATTGATTCTGATACTACCATGTCTACGATGATAAATGGTGATCTAAATAAAATTAATGAGAAACGCTTTACTGGATTCTATTTCAAAACTACATATTCTGATGTTAACTTTATTATTAAAGATCCGTTTATCATTGAAAAATTGATTTTACTACCTATGACTAAATTATTTCTCTATTTGTTAAAAAAAACACAACGTATATTGACTGAAAATGAGCCAAATTATAAATGCAGTAAAACCAAATCTGTTCACACAATCACTATCAATAAAACAAATGACTATTCATGTCAAATGATTCATTGTAAACGTGTATTAATGGAATTGTATGAGCACTATATTGTAACTTATGGATATTTAAAACATACAAAACTATTTATTAAGTATGCATTAAAAGATTTTCCTGATTGTATAGAAAAATCTAGACTTTTGAAATTACTGCATAAAAATAAAACATTAATGAATGTTTCCAATAAATCCGATGAATTCCTCAGTCAACACGAAAATAATCATGATGATACTCGTGATTTTATTTTAAATAATGATAGAATTTCATCTGAATGTCAATCTCCATCATCTTCTAGCTCATCATATACAACTAAATTGCATCCTTTTCAAAGTTCTTCATTTTCACTAAATGAATATCATTCTCAACGAAATCAATTGTTTTCATCAGATTGGTTTAATAATTATTCTTCAAATATTATCAATATGTTACCTTTTGAGTTTACAGATAATCCATCACAAATAAATGAGTTTACATCAAATTATATTATACAAACTAATACGAAAATATCAATGAAGGTAAGGAGAGATGATCATAAATTGTTATATAGATTTTTCTTATGTAGAAAATATTCTGATCAGTAGTAGAAACAAATATTTTGTCTTTTTTCTAATGTGGAAGTTAATAACTCTTGAACTGTAAAACTACATGGGTTGCTTTTATATATAATCTGAAGAATAAATGAAACATCTTTCCAGTTTATTAGGAGAAGCAAGAAATGGAGAGAAAGAGAGTTGAGTAATTAACTGAAGTTATTTAGTATGCTATTCAGACAATGTTTCGAATTGTATGAAAGAGTGTAGAAGAGAGGCTAATCTTACATGTGTGTATTTTAGAAGAGCGAATTTATCATTGTCTAAAGTTGAATAAGAAGTACTACGGTAAAGTGATAACAAGTTCGAATTGTGAACGTATGAAGTGATAGCTCAAACAATTCGCTAAAGAATTAGATAGTACTAAGGCGTACGTACTCAAACTCGTTCTGTTACCACAAACAGATAAGTGCCAGGAGAAATGATAGTTGTTCATATTTCTGCTTTGATGTTACTATTAACTGCTTAGATATGTACAGTTTCATAAATCTGGATGTATAGGACTCAATAATTTGAGTTCCTTGTCAGAGTTTTACAGATTTCTGCGTTATTTCAAATATTGCTGAAGATGTCTAGCTTCAGGTGGTAACAAATGTGGAACAATGTATAAATTTTAACTTCCTTTTGAACGATCTTAATTTATAAATGTAAGTGATTTTCTAACGGGAATAATTTAAAGTATTCAACTAGTAGGTAGTACTTGTAGATATTTATCAATTTCCTACTGATGCTTTGAAAGTTCCCAGACATCTATCCAATCAACATTTTGGTAGATTTCAGAAACATCATTAACTTGGCATGCTTGTACTCTTTTTGTCATGATTAGAAATATATAAACAAATAAATCTATTCATCAGATATAACCGTTCAGATACCACCTTCATAACTACAATCTATCAAACAAGCAGAAGGAAAGTTATCAGAAATCGATTTGTTTATTATTTTTTAACAGTGTTAAACAACCTATCACATTGAGATTAGAAATTAAAACAATAATTTCTCTTTATACTTGTCTAGATATCATCAGGTAATTCACAAAATAAAAACGCTTCATTATTCAACATTCACTACAAAACACAATTATGCAAATATTTTCAAGAACATTCTGGTTATTGTCCAGTTGGAGTAAGATGTCATTTTGCACATGGCATAGAAGAACTGCGTGATCCAAAATCACATCCAAAATTTCGTAGTCAAACATGTCGAAATTATTCAGTTACTGGTAATTGTTTATATGGCGATAAATGTTATTTCAAACATTTCATAGACGATTTATCGTCGACAAAAAACGAAACAACATCAGAATTAGAAATATTCAATAATAAAGAAAATCTATCACCTGATTCAACTAGTCAATCAGGGAAATATTTGTTTAATTAAAAAGAAAAAGAATATTAAAAGGAAAGAATGATTATTGAACAACAGACGAATTAAAATGAAAGAATACAATGAATGAACAAAGGTATCAATATGATTCACTTAATAAGTAGGGTATAATAAAACTGCTATTTTTAATTCTTATCTAATAGTATGGAAATCCGCATTGAATATTTAACAATAAAGAATGTTTAAATGAACAAGTGTTTTTATTTTAATTCTTTCTTTATCAAATTCTTGTGTAATAAAAGAATTATAGACTATAATGACTAAACGATTCAATGACAAAGCTACTGAAGACAATAATAGTTTGCTTAAAAATTATTTGATTTTGATTGTTAATATAATGTAAATGTGCAACCATGCATACACGGTACCTACTATCACTAAGAACGTTGATTTTTTAAAAAAATGTAGAGATAATAATCTAGTTGTTTTTGATAAATACAAACTAGTCACGATTACTAGCAAAATTCTCCGATACAACATAACATGCACCAACAAAATCACTATTGATGGAGATGCCTTGGAGGACGTTAGCACTTTTGAATATCATGGCAGCATCATTGACGAGAAAGGTGGATCCGATGCAGATGTGAGGGCGCGGATTAGTAAAGCAAGGGCTGCGTTTCTATAATTGAAAAATATCTGGAACTTGGAGCGGAAACTTGGTGAACTACCAAAGCCATCATCCAGAAGATACAAGTGTTTATTAACAGTTGTCTACGCAAAATACTTCGTATTAGTTGGCCAGACACCATCAGCAACAACGTACTGTGGGAGAGAACAAACCAGATTCCAGTGGAGGAGGAAATCAGGAAGAAGCGGTGGAAGTGTATAGAACACATACTGAGAAAAGCACCCAACTGCCCCACAAGAAAAATCCTCAGTTGGAACCCTCAAGGCAAAAGGAAAAGAGGAAGGCTAAGGAACACATTACACCGAGAAATAAAGAAAGATATGAGAAGAATGAACAAAAATTGGACAGAATTGGAAAGGGAAGCCCAGGACAGAGTTGGTTGGAGAAAACTGGTGGGCGGCCTATGCTCCATTGGGGGTAACAGGCGTAAGTAAGTAAGTAAGTAAGTCATGATTACTGAAAATGCATACGGTTAATCCTAATCTTACATAGTGTGCAGATGAATATGTGATTCGTTATACAATTCCTGTAAAATGAATTCAATAATGTACAATACACATTTCACGTACGTTCATGCATTCGTTTCAAAATTTTTCATGAAATGAACCTAAATACGTCTTATTTACATTGAAAATGAAAAGATTTGTTTTTAACACAACACTATCAATAGAATCACAAATAAGAGTTTCAAAGAAATCAATGCCTAAAATGCTTGAGAAAAACTTGAATGAACAAACAGTGTTGCTTCTAAGCATGAAATTGAAAGTAATTGAATTGTCTCTAAGTTAAGAAGTTTCTGAAAATACTACAAGCTAACATAATTTGTATTCTTTAGCTAAAGGTCTTACTGCTAAATACATAACGGTGGCAGTATATTCTTCAACATGGTTTATTATGAATTCTGTATTACCCTTATAAGTGATGTCAATTGTGATACATTTTTTTCTCTAACTGGTCATTTGGTTAAGTCATAACTTCTTATGGGAACTAAAATAAGTCATCTTCCAACCAGTCATCAGAGATCCAACAACAATTATTTGTCTTAGTGGTTTTAAACAGTTGTTAAAAAAAACAATTATACTATTAGTTAAGTAAGATAGAAGATGCTTTGATGCCATAAATATTTATTTCTGTAAAAATTTAAATCTATTATTTTCTGATACTAGTTCTCATCAGTTAGACTAAATTGATTCATAATGGTGATTGTTTTGGTGTGTTTCATTCTGTATTTCTTTATGCAAGAGATTTAAACTGAGTTTTTATTCTAAACGAAACCATAACAGAAAGCCATTTTTATTGTTCAGTTTGATTCTCAAATAAATTTTAAATTTATAAAACGTATTAATTGTCAAATAAAATCAACTTTGAAAACTATTGTATTTATTTTCGAATTGTTTTTTTTTTTCAACTGAGCCATCACTAACAATAAATTTAACTAGTCATGATAAACAAATGACTTGGATGAATTGTTGGATAGACTGATGAGAAGTGAGAAGTATATGATATATTTTTTTATTATATATGAATATGAGAAAAATTAATTGATTTCACAATTTCATTTGTAAGGCTGAAACTGATTCATTATAATGAATTGAAGATTTTGCTAATAAAAAAAGGATTTTATGTCATTGATTTGTTTGCTGGAAATGCTTTTTCTTAGTGACGCATCAAATTTTGTCACTACATAATAAACAATAAAGTTCTTTATGCATTACGGGGTTGTGAAGATTGTTAAGTTACACATTTTTGAAAACATGAATCGATCAATGTTAGACCACCACTAGAAACCTGGAAGAACTGAACGGCCGTTTCGTCCTGGTATGGGATTCCTCCATGAATTGATCAAGTTAGACATTAACACCGTTAGATACTGGCTCAGTGGTTCGATGGTTAGGCGTTCGCCTACAAAACCGAAGGTCCTGAGTTCGAATCCTGCTGGTTGCAGGAGTCGTGGATGTGCACTGCTTAGGAGTCCCATACCAGGACGAAACGGCCGTTCAGTGCTTCCAGGTTTTTAATGGTGGTCTAACATTGATCGATTCATGGTTTCAAAAATGTTTAAAGTTCTTTATGTTTTCTAGTAGTATCTTGAATTTGACTGACCACATTTTACGATGATTACCGAAAGTAATCAACAATGATATTGAATGCCTACATTAAATCCTGATTAAGTCTTATCAGTTTTGTTTGCTAGCCTTTTGTTTATGAACATAGAAAATATAAAATCCCTATTCTCAGTAGTTACTTGTTACATACGAAATGGTTATTATATATTGGGTAATAAATTCAGCTGTCATTATAGTCATAAGTGATCAGTAGTTCATTCGTTTGTTTAATTCAACCGGACAGATTGTAATGACGACTGTAACATCTGGTGGAAATATGGATCTCCTCAAGTACTGATTAATAAATATCTTTCAGTCTAGTAAGAAGCTTGGAGATGTTTCAACTGCTATAAATTAAGTAGAACACGAAGTTATCCTTGTTGTAAAATGTAGTTGCTTAAGAAATATCCAACCTACAATTCACATGATAAACAGTTCTTACATGATAATCACATGATCAAAATCAAGAGAACTGGACGATAAAATGGCACAAAATTACGTTGCTAATAATAACTGATATTTCTCAGAAAAATGCCACAAACATTGATAATGAATAGTTAACTTATAGCTATCACAATATATTCCTAGTGAACATTCACTTGTAAAATTATTAATCCCTAACTACCAAATTACTGTCACTATCCACCTTAAATCAAAGTTATAATAAAATCGTTGATTATATGGGATAAATATTTTTGAAATACTGTTGACATATAACTAAACCATAAGTTAAGGACACCTCAAAATAGTCAGAAAACATTGATCATGTCTAAAACTTCACTACTAAAATAAACCAATGACCTAAAAGCGATAATCTTCCAAAAAATGAGGTTTGTAATAAATAGTTCATATTAAACTTCATATTAAGCTTTCATGTGTTAATATGTCAAAATTTTTTATCACTCTCCTTCAATTATTTACTTAGTTTGAAATATATATGTATATAAAGTTTATGATGATATTTATCTGTTATATAATCAACTTACTCATAATTTTGATTTATTTTATTTTATATATTCAAGATTACATTTTAACCATATGGTTACTTTTTTTTGAAAAAAGTCTATACTACTTAACTATCAGGCACAAGTACACAACGATTGTGATTGTTTTCACATTTTGGTAGCCTAAGTAATTGTCAACTCATCAACTTCAAACACAACTGTTCAGGTTATTTTTAAAATTCTTGCTGGCAAATGAGTTTTTTTTTCTTTAAATCTTTACATCTGTTATAAAATAAAATATTTCATTATAGTACAATGGGAATATACAATAATAATAATAATAATAATAATAATAGAGGTGTACAATTCGATTCAATTGTGAAATCTATTTTACATATAAATGATTAATTAACTGAAATATAGAAAGATAATTTATGCACTCTGTGATTATGATGAAGAGATCTTGCTTAAAACTTAAATATTATAAATAATTCATCGAAAAAACGTATATTAGTATGGTGTTTTATTTTTAATTTGTTTTTCATTACAAACGAACAAGTTACTTTTGAAGTTCTTAAATAAATAAATACATAAAAACCAACATTGAATGTGAAGTAAATTTTCAATGAAAAATTAAACATATTTAAAGTATCATTAATAATAATAATAATAGAACTTTGTTTAAAGCTTTAGGAATGAAGCTGTTGAAAATTTATAAAATAGCTTCACATTATTAACTACAACTTGATAGACTGTAAATTTCTATGTACCAAAAAGTAAGAGGTTAATTTTAATTGGTGCTTCATTGAATTAGATCTCCAGAACTCGCTTGATAAATATCTTTAAGTTGGATTTGATTCATGGGCTGATCAGTTGACCTTGAGATCACATTTCCCACTAGGAAAATCCTTGGCTGTAATTGGTTGCTGTGTACTTAAGTGTGCTATTTTTGCGACTGTCCCAAGGACATTTCTATGATGTATAAATAAACGTGATTTGTGTGTTTGAGATTATTATGTTTGCTGGGTGTTTTTAAAGAATACACTTTCTACTCTATATCAAGACTTCTTTGTTAGTTCCTTTGGGGCAACCTATCAGAGTAGCATAACGTGTCACTGATTCATTGTCTCGTTCTCCTTTATCGACTAAGGTGAACCCGTAATTGCTTCAAGCATATCAAGTGACTAGCATAACATGAGTATACTATCTTTTGAATTGACCTATATATATTACAATAAATTGAAGAAATTATTGTTCTGCAGAAAACCAGTGTATTAAAGGTTATTTCAGCGTTTTTCACTTTGATGAAAATTTGTCATATTCTTTAAAACAAATTAGTGAAAATCCACTAGATCTACTTAAATATGTTTGAAACAAAAATAACCTTATTTAGGAAGAAAAAACAAACGATGACAAATGTTCGACTTTAGGCAATCAGCATTTCAAATAATAAGTAAGAAAATTAATTTTCACTTTTGGTGGTTTAGTGTAAGACACTTTTTAATTTAATTAAA